GGCAATCCGCGAACAAACACTGTGTCTCTAATTGCAACCTGGAACCGAATTTCCTCCTTAAGACATGAAAACTTACCCCGAATTTCAAGAATTGCTTGCTATGACTTTCTTCTTTTGACCTAAAATTTAATTTACCTTTTAAGCATAACTTTAATCTACTTCAATAGCGCGATCTGCGTCTGGAGCTCCTCGATTTTCTCTTTTGTGTTCTCGAATTGTCGTTGATTGAGCATTTGAGCAATTTGAGCCTCCAATTCGACAATCTACAATGACAATCTTGGTTTTATAATAAAGGAAACAGGCTTTGACTAATCTATGGCCTTTTATTTACCCGTTTCTGCTCCTGATTCTCGCGAAGTGAGTGCTGTTTAGCCAACTGCAGCTGCAACTCCTCAAGGCGTTTCGTGTTCTCCTCGTTTTGGGTTCTCTAGAACCCAAATCAAGTTTCACATTTAAATCCAAACTTTTATATTAGAACCATATTGAGAAACTATTAGGTTGTCCAGTTATGAATGCACGCCTGCTCTTGAACAGCATACCCTAGGGCTATACAATTTTATCAAACCCTATTCTCTATATGCTGTTCAAGATTTCTTATTTATTACAAATTTTCGTGTTTTTACGTTAAACTAATTCATTTTTGATTTAATTTCCGTGTTTAGATGACCGAGACGAAGTTTCGTCTTCGTGCCAGTCTTTGGTATGACTTCAAATTGGGCAAAAATGCCGCTGAATCTCATCGAGATCTCTGCAAAGTATTTGGCGAAGAGGCTATTTCGGAAAGCCAGTGTCGCCGATGGTTTCAACGATTTCGAGAAGGAAATGAATCTTTGGAAGACGAAGACCACCAACGACGACCTCCTGCGATCGATAGTGCAGTACTGAAGCAGGCGATAGAAATGGATCCTCGACAAACTACACGCGAACTTACAGAAATATTTAGAGTAAGCCCTCAAACAATTTCCGAGCATTTACATCAATCGGGGAAAACAAGCCGACAAGGGAAACGGGTTCCTCATCTTCTCAGCAATGCCAATAAAGTATTTGGCGAAGATGCTATTCATACAATCACGGGTGAAACGTAGGCACAACAACTGGAACGAGTGAACCATGTATTGCTACAAAAAGGCCTTGATCCTTCAAATAAAGTTCATTCAAGATAACGCCCGTCCACACGTTGCAAAGATTGTTCAGGAAAAACTCGAAGAGTTGGGCTGGGAAACTCTCCCGCATCCGCCATATTCTCCGGATATTTCTCCCTCGGATTACCATTTATTTCGCTCAATGCGAAACCATTTGGCTGGAAACAGGTTCAAAGATGTCCAAGAGGTCGACAAATGGTTAGCCGACTTCTTTGCCTTAAAACAAGCCAATTTTTACGCCGAGGGAATTCATTCTTTGCATGGAAGATGGAAACAAACATTGTTAACAAATGGTGAATATATTGTTGATTGAGTTGTTAAACTGCTGGTTTTAAAATAAAGAGTTGTTATCTTAAAAACGCGCATTTATAACTGGACAACCCAATATATTGATATTTTTATGCTCCTAATAGCACAAGTACTTTTTTTCCAACTCTTCTTCCGACTAACCTGTGTCTCAGCCTTGACTCTCAACTCGATCAACTCCAAGCGCTCCCGGGAAAATTGCTCAATAGCGCCTAAAAGCAGAAAATAAAGAATTTTCACACCACCAACCTAACAACGAATAAGCGATGGTTGATCCGGTCACATGAGCACGACATTTTGGGCAGTAGTTTCTAAAAATTGAAGTTAAGTACCAAACTGCTTGTTTGTTGAACACCAGGCTATTGACATAGCTGATAAACAGGCTAGAGCTTCTACGTAAGGCGCTAATTGTTAAACTCACACATTCGGGACGCATTCCTCACAAATCGTGTGCGCACATGGGTTCACCGTTTTCGGTTTCTTGTTGACATGATTAACTAAATGCCAAAATTTTATTGCCTCTTTCCAAAAAAACAGCTCAAACTCACATTCGTCGAAGCAAATCGGGCACTCGAAGTCGGTGATCTGATCCATTCGATGTGCTTCGAGCCCTTGAACTCTTTTTTTTTATGCCCTAAATAAAAAAGATAAACAGAAAATAAAAACACAAGTCCTGCAAAAACAAGAAATGTCTTCTGAAGTTTGCCTGCTTGTATAACACAGCAGATTTTATGTAAATGACTCTGCGATTAAATTTTCTGTCATGCCTATGGCAATCGTAGGATTGCCGTAGGAATGTTTAAAAAGAGAGCACTGAAAAAGTTTTTCTTTTGAGAAACAAGGTGGTAAAAATTGACCAATATTCGGTTGTCTTTGGCTCTTTTACCCTTTAGACGCAAAGTAACGTGTTACGGTTCCAAACATCTAAATTCTGGGTCGAAATCTTACCCAAACTGCTAAATCTTTTAACCAAGAAACACTAATTCTAAATGATTTGCCAAAACGAGAGAAATAACAAAACGATTCGCGGCTGGGTTGGATTGGCGTTTATAGAGAAAAGATATTTAGATTTTTAATAACTTTATCGGTGATATAAAAGACACGGGACTGAAGACCAATAAAATGGAAAGCAGCGAGAAAAGTACAAAAACTCTAAAACTTTAACAAATTTTACAAGAAACAGGGAACGAGGGCTGAAAACATTAAGAGTAGAGGAGGAAATTTTAACAAAAAACAGAAAACAGAATAAGGGAATAGAGAAAGGGGAATATACACGCGCAAAAGACACGGCGAAACGCAGGACCGGGCAACGATTCCTTAAAAGAATGAGTTTCAAAGGAATGGGACATTTTTTATAGGGAGAAAGAGAGACCCCGTCTCGACTACGGTAACTTACCGTAAATACTGTAATAGTACCCCACCCCCATAATGATGGTGCGGAGTGTTGCGTAGTCTAGCTTTGGATGCGTTTTTCTCGACACTGGTTTATGCTTAGGTATCAAAAAATAGCTGAAATTCAGGGCTATTTTTTGATATCAAACACGCATTTTTTGAAAGTACGGGTGCTTTGCAAAAAATTAAATACTAAAAACTTTTGCGACCATCCGACTTTACGAGGGGGGTGGGGGTGGGGTACTATTACAGTATTTACGATAGGTGTATTTTATAAATTAGGGTTGGAAAGTGGTCAACCTGTACTCGAACTGCGGGAATTGCAGTTTTACTACACTTAAATCTAGCTGCAAACTGAGGAATTCATCAGATTTTGTCATGCAAATCACGGGTGAAAGAAAGGCTCTGAGGAGAAAGAAGGGGGTTGGATGGGTTGGAAGGACAAATCAATACGAAAAAGGGTAAGATTAGAGCCGACCCCAATTATGCCAAATGGACCTTTGCACAAACAAGTATAGATCCTGGCTCTAATGAACTATCAAACTTCTAAGCTTATAACATAATAAACATTAAACTATAAGTTCTTTGAAATAAGATAAGCTGAACAGATAGACTCAGAAGCAAAAAGCAATAACACTACAAGTACTCTAACGGCACAAAATCGATAGCTCTGTATGTTTATCGAGTACTAAAATCTAGTTAAATGAGTTAAATTCATCATGTGCAGAAAAGTAGCTCTTTTCTGTGAAATCTTATTTGATGTTTTGATTTTGAATATCTCTGATTCTCTTGTCCTTCCTCTAAAGATCGTTTGTGTGATAAAAAGGAACGGAGCCCACTTTGTATTGCTTTTCTTTGGCTTAGAAATACTGAACCAACGATTGATTATATTTTATTGTATTTTCTCGCTAGATTATTTATGGTGCTATATGCGGAATAAATATCTAATAATCATTGCCTCATCGGTACCCTCTCACGCACTGCACACATCAGATTTTCAAGAAACCGAACAAAAAAGCTTCTAAGTCTAGTGGGTCATTCAAATTTACAAGCATTTTGTATTTACCTCAAAAAAGACTGCTTATGCTATGAAATTCATGGTGACAAACCACGAAAAAGCTAAAGAATTTTGATAAGACTGGTGACCACAAAGTGAGAAGTATTTTTGTAGATAAGGTGCAAAATACAAGACATTTTTGCTTATCTTTTTCGAGATTTGCTTATAAGTAACGCTTCGAGTGCTTGAAAAATTGCTTTTTTTGTGATTTTCAAGAAGTTTTCTGTTGGCTTTAATCAAGATGCTTGTGTGCTTTTGTTTTATACAATCTGTTTAAACATTTTATTTCAACGATTTTTGTGAAATGAAATAAATTGTTTGTCAATCTTTGATCCTAAATTGATACAGACAAAAGCTGCTTTTGTTAGAAAGTCGATCCATTTTCCCATTCGATTCATATTGATTGAAAGAAAGCTCGACAAAGAAGCTCGGGATTGAAAGGATGTCTGAAATTAGATCTGTTTTCTTCACACCTATTCAGATTCCTTTCAGTGAGCCTTGTTGTGACCCCGACAAAGACCAAACAGAGACTCTTGTTGAGAAAGGGAAAAAGAGAACAAGAACTTCTTCTGTAAATCGAACATTTGTCTTAAATCGAGCTCTTTCCCAAATCAAATGATTCAAAGAAGCCTTCTTGACTTTAACACTTACAATATTTTGTGTTTCTACATATTTTTCGTACTTGGAAGTGTTTATGGAGATGATTGTGGTGGCAATGATGGAGGGTAAGAGAATTTTTTTGATTAAACCTAGGATTTTCTAGTCTTTCTGGATTTTTTAGAACTATGATTTAGCTTTTAGATTAAATATTGTGGGCAATTACTGTAGCTAAACAGTCATTTAGCCCACCAATAAGCCTCAAATGTCTCATCCAAAAGATCCACGATCGAGCCAATCCAATCTCTCCATCATCTTCATCCACTTATCCATCGTTCACTTCAACTCTTGATTCTCCATCTAATTCATGGGGAATTATCAAAAGTGATATGGATACATTGGAAGAATTTCCTTCGACGATAAGGCCTATTTTCGAAAATAAAGAGCTTGAGAATAGAAAAACGATAAGAAACAAACCAGATCGAAAAACGAATAAAGGGAATTCGATGTTCAAGACTTCTTCAGGTTGAAAATTTCTAACAATTCAGAATTACCAAAAATTCAGAATCCCGTTTGGTTGGCGAAAGCTGTCGACGGAATACAGATTGTGTGGTAATTTTGTAAAGCTTTCTCACGATTACTTTTCATTAGTCTGGAGCCTATTGTGAGACCGGTCGGTGTCGTTGTTTGGGTAACTATGTGGAAATGAAAGATCACTGTTGGAGAAGTGGAAAATCTACAGTAAAGTTTCAAATATATTTTAGGAGTAAATCCGGAGGAATCCGGTTGCACGTACGATGTACAATGTGATGCCATTTGGCCTGGATCTTTCTGTCAATACTCGATTTGCAAGTAAGTGTGGGAATTGATTCAAGAAGTGAAAGTGGGATTTGTGAGTAGGACTTGAAGCACTTGAATTAGTATTTAATGAGCACAAAAGTTCTTTGGCATCTGGTTCTTTTGGGTACAAAAACTGGTGCTAACGGTGCTAATTACCAGATCCAGTCTTCGAGATCAAATTCAAATCTACGGGGCGGTCCATAAAAAAAGTGGCTCACTTTGCGTACCTAAAAATTTTTTGCGCTGAATTTTGATGGCACATCGTGGCGTCAAAATTGGTTTTGCCTCAGGGGTTACACATTGGCACGAAGTTGGTTTTTTTGAAAATTTTATCTATAGGGGTCATGCATTGAGTGGAGACCAAAATTCATGTATTATGTGGATTCGAACTTTTAATTTTCACTATTTCACCATAAAACTTTTTAATTTTTGTTTTCTTTACTTTGTTTAGTCTATTTAATACTTTCATTATATTTTCAGAGGGCATTGTTGGGAAGTGAGAACACTCAAAAATAGTTGGGTTTTGTGGGCAAAAAGTTGTGCTCAAAATTTGACTATTTGACTCTTTGTGAATTAAATCACGAGGATCCTGATTTAAATTTGAGTAAAGAAAGCAAAAATTAAGCCAAAATAGTTTTCCTGGTTTTTGGATTTTTTTGGTAAATGGTTTTTGGAGTCGAAATAGTTGTCGACCACTTTTTTGATTTGAGCATGATCAGCGAACTTTTCTCACATGATAAACTGTTTTAAGGATCGAAGCAAAAAGTAATCTGACGGAGCTAAGTCAGGAAAGTAAGGCGCATGAGGCAGGATTTTAGCAAGCAGCGAGTCGTGAGTGTTGGGTTGAAGTCAATTTTAATCCCAAATTCAAAACGTGCATTTTTTTCTTTAACCTAATAGTAACTGTTGATATTGGTAGTGGACAGATTTAAAACTTTCAATAGTTTCAAATCTACTGTAAGCCAACCACCTTCATAGGTTAAACGTTAAAAACCTTCCAGATGTCCATTGGGTAAAATGGTTGCTGCAACGAGAGAAGGAGCTGTCTGTCATTCACCTGGTAATCATTATAAAACTCTTGCTTTTGGACCAACTCTTTGAGGTGAATGCCCAACTGGGAGTGTCTCCTCAGCTCTCCTCAATCGCAACTCGCTATCGCTGGCAAATTGCTATTTCTTTGATGGAGAGGATCGACGAGCTGGGAAATTTATTGGATGTGATGATTACCCTGAAGTTGTCAGCTGTTTAAAATCTTATTCAAGAATTTTAGGTTCATGAATGCATTGAGGGACTTTGCTGCCCAACTAGAGGTACTTGGCTTTTGTGTCGTTCTGATATGTTTTACAGCTCTCACTTGCATTCAACCGGCCGATCCGGGCGATGGAGGAAATGAGACATCAATTGTAACACCGAGATGGTATTATGATTCGGTAAATTGTCTCAAAGTCTTGAAAATTTTTTCTTTAAGATCACTGGTAGTTGCCAGCAGTTCAATTATTCGGGACAAGGCGGAAATTCCAACAATTTTCTTACCAAGCAACAATGTGAGAGCTATTGTGAAGCAAGTAAGCAAAAGCAAGATAATGTTTGCTACAAAGCTTTTTAAAATATGCAGGATGTGCCCGAGGACAACCACAACTCGATTTTACTGTTCAAGACTCGGATCCCTTGGCTTCGTTGACACTTTTATGTCAAAGAGATTCGGATTGTGATGAGGATAGGTTAATAAAATTGATAAAACGAAAATTAGAGCTACAATTACTTCATTTTTAGGTTCTCTTGTCAAACGAGAAGTTCCACTAGCAGCTGTTGTCCAAAAGCCGGTTTAACTCTTGCACCTCGATTCACAAAGTTGAAACTTCTAGAGTTCATTTGCTCTGAACATGGTGGTCTTCTCGGAGAACAGGTTGATCTCACTTCATCCGTTTCCACAACAATTCCATTCTCTGCGGGGAGTAGCCGAAACGGAGTACAGCCAGCTACAAGGTTATTGGCGAGAATTTCGATTAAAGTGCTTTTAGATGGTACTGGGATGACAATGAACGGCGCTGTAGAACGTTCCAATATCTCGGACAGGGTGGAAACTTTAACAATTTCCTCTCGGAACAACATTGCCTGGGTTACTGTACAAAAGGTAGATCTATGAGATTGTTTTAGCTTGTAAAAGTTCTTTAGCTTTGTGTCCATATGGGACTCCTCTCCGAATTTCATCGGGTTCTCTCATTGAATGCTCGGTTTCTTCACAATGCCCGAGAAGTCATCAATGTGTTTCCGGGGCTTGTTGTCCTACATCTGGTAAGGGTAACTTAAAGCAAGCTCTGATCGTCCAAAACTTCAGCCACAATCTGCAATCAGCCATTATCTGAAGGAGTCAACTGTCTATCCGAAGAAGTACCGAGATTCTGGTTTCATTAACAAAGTTATATCTAGCAAACTTGAAATTTCAGGTTTGACCCATCGACTGGCTCCTGTCAACAGTTTTCTTATCGTGGCTGTCAAGGAAATGCAAACAATTTCCACACCCATCGTGAATGTCAAACATTTTGCAGTCAAATTGAAGGTGGAACCTACAAGGGAAAAGCAATAGTAGGATGTGGTCAAATGAGATAAGCCATAACCCATTCGACGCAGAATTTCACGCTGATTCCAAATCTGTTTCTCGTTTTTGTGACTTTCTATAAAAAGTTATACGTGTTTTAAGTTTTAGGATAAAAATGCGAAAATTTGGAGCCTATAGAGATGTCTTTATAAGGGGTCTCTCACGGATCCCAAACGTGGCTAGATGGTATAGTGGATAAAACGGTTGCAAAATATGCGCTCCATATTTTGCTCGAGTTCGATTCCTTTTGGCAAACCTAAATTTTTATAGAAAGCCATTTTGCAGTTGAAGTTTTGAGGTGTCTTTTAGAGGAGCCAAAGTGCGTGGTTGGAGAAGCGTTGCGTTTGGAGAGTGGTCGATTCTGGAAATGCGGAGTGAGAGGGGTGACTTGCCCGAATCAGTACGAGTGTCTCTTTGATGGGAATCAACACGGATGCTGTCCGACACAAGCATATACATGCAGTCAAATGCCGGACGAGGGACGCTCATGTTCGCCTGGGATCTCGATTCGATGGTGAGTCTTGTAAATAAGATTGAGAACGATCATTCTATTAGGTTGGCAAGAGTCCGCTTTTACTTTATCATTTTGTTTCAGAATAGTTGATTAGCACAAAAGGTTAAACGGGTTTCCCCAAAACGCTCACAACATCCAGCAACATCCAGCTCGTGATGCGAGTACAGAACGGATTGACACTTCGTCGATGGCAACACGAATATTAGCAAATTCTTTTTATAATGTTAGACCAGCTATCTAAACAGACTTGAGAACCTTAAGGGTAGTTTAAAGTAGATCGGATTGCTAATTCTACGGTTTATTAGTACAGAAAGAAAAGCCAACGATACTCCTTACAAAACATTACAAAAGAGAAACATCAAATCCCGAAAGAACGAGAGTAAAACTCCAAACTCAAAAGGGCGAGAAGCTACAAGTTCTGCTGAAATATCAAAAAAGAAATTTGGGGAAGAGAATGAGACAAAAAGCAACGCAAATTGAATGCAAACAGGAAAGTAATTTTTGACGGGAACGGACACGACCCAAGAAAGTTCGTAGAAATATTTTGCACGATTTGCTTTTTGCTTGTTTGCTTGTTTGCTTTGCTCAAAAGCTAAAGCATGTATTTATTCAAGATCATTGCCATTTTTAAGAATCACATTCTGCCATTTATTAAGCAAAGTACGGATTCGTTTCTTTCAAAAAGTCTTTGGCTGGCGGGCGAAGAAATCGCGGAGCCAGCTTTCGACCTCAGCTCGGTCCCCAAAGGGCCGAAAGAGTCCTGCAGCTAGTTTCCGGAAAAGATGAAAATTCTACGATCTTTCTTGCCAACCTGATAAAATCTTGTTTACAAGATTGAGTACTTTATTGTAATATTAGGTGAACAAGATTTAGTATTTTAGATTTCCGCTTAACCCAACACTTATTCAGGTTCTACGACAACAAACACGCTCAATGCCGGTCATTTTCTTACCGAGGATGTGACGGAAATTCGAACAACTTTGCTTCACAAAAAGATTGTGAAGATTATTGTGTCCAAAGTGAGTCTCGGCAATAATCACTAAACTGAACTTTTAGAGCTGAAATGCCCTCCACCCTACACAAATCCCTTCGAAGCACCACAGTTTTGCAGCCCACAATACAAATCGTGTCAAGGTTTCAAGACGAGCAAAACATTTTTTTACCAAACAAATCTTATAGAAGAGCACGAATGTGTTTCGGTTACTTCATCAAATCATGTCTGTTGTGCTCCACAAGTTCGACCGTCACTACGAATATTGATCACAAAGTTGTGTGGAGATCGCTGGAAACCGTGAGAGAATTTTTGTGAGAAGTGCAGAATTGATACTATTGATTTCAAATGACAATACAGCTAGCTGGCACAAAAAAAGGAAATTTTACAATATTCAGACCTTTAGTTAGAATCCTATTTACGTGCGGTTTAAAGGGACTGGCGCAAAAGCGGCGCGCCGCGCTATCTAAAGGGTGGATACCCTACCGGACCCCTCACAAAAATTCTTTTGTTATTCTTTTTATTTTTCGGCATTCCATGATGGAACTGTGAATGTTGTCCGTCTTTTATGCCGAGTCCCCCTAAGTTTTATTCCCCTTTCGTAAAGTCCATTATGTTCTTGTAGCGCGTTTTTAAAGTACTGCCTACTTCTCCTCGCCCCTAGTTCGTTCCCTCCTTTCTATATTGTTCCTCCCATGTTTCCTGTTTAAATTTCTAAAATGGTTTTGTTTTGTTTCTCTTGGCCCCTTTCTACTCCATTGTCTTCGAATCTTTCTGTGCGTGCCGTATAAACTTAGCTTAACCAATTCTCTTTCAACTAAAACAAAATCTATCAAATCAAATCGGCCCGATTTCTTGGGGTTTTTCTTCTTGGGTTTAGTGTCTAATTATTTTAGAAAAAGGATTGGTGAGTAAAAGGTATTGGATAAGGTTAAATGGTTACTAACTCTTCGACTGTTCCAGGGTAATGGCCTCAAGTGGTGAACCGCGTCGCTGTGATTCAAAATTGCCATGTGATCGAGGATCAATGTGCCGATTCTCTGGTAACTTTTGCTTTGATTATGTATTTGTCCTAAGATCAAAGTAATAGTAGGTATTGGCATTGTAAAACTCTGGAAAGTGTAAGACTTTTAGAAGTTCTCTGGCTTGATATCTGTTGCCGACCGAGCGAAGAAAGGATCGTCAGTGGTAAAGCTCTATAAAGTCACTAAAATGCCGAAAGTTTAGAAGAAAATTCTGAAGAATCGATGAGCGCTCGAAGAGCATCGAATCCATTTGAAGAGCTTGATCCACAAATCGAATTTCAAAGCGATCAGGAAAGCCGGAGACAAGAAAGACCGAAACTGGCTTTGTTTGGTTTTTATGAAAATGCTCATTCCAATTGTTTTTACAGAAAGGGTTCAACGAACAGAAGAGGAAATAAGCAGCCAACAAAATGCAAATTGAGCTATTCAAATGGGGAAACGATATCGGATGAATGCAAGAAAGGTGAGGCGAGAGATTAGCAAGAAAAAGTTGAACTTGAGCTTGCTAGACTGGTCTAATTGAAAACTAATTGTAAGCAAGTTGTCAAAAAGTTGATATGGCTAGAATAGAAAAAAGTCGAATTTGTAAAAATTAAGTACATAGCGTTTTCAGTTGTATTCCCCGGTGAAGACGGATGTGATGATGGTCACCCTTGTACGGGACAATCTCGATGTGTTCAAGGGAAATGCTTCTGTCATCCACGAGCCGTTCTTTTCAACAAAATGTGTTGTGGGTTTTGATTTGGAATCTATTGTAATAACCAGCCGGAAAAAGCCACCTAACAGCAGGTTTTTTTTGGCCTAAATATGGCTGCGAAAAACCCAGACAGGCACTGCTCTTTTATATTAGGGTTGTCCATAAGTTCTTGTGGTTCTTAAATTTGTGATTTCTTAAAAAGCAGTCAACAGTTTCATCTGAAATTTCTACTTAATAATCTACAAGTATATGCTAACTAGTAGACAAAATTTGATGACGATTGCTTGGTTCAATCGAGAGAATGAGATCAACCAAGTCAGCATGTATTTCACCTTATTTTGAGGGCTAATGTGAGAGAAAAATTCCATACTTCTACTAAAAAGAGATAAACCAAAAGGGCTAATTTAAGTTTAATTGTATCCGGATGTTAGGTCGACCAATCCTCCTAAAAATGTTCTGGATCCTGTTTTTCATCAGTGTTTCATAGAGCCGAGCGAGCCTACAAAGAGTGAAACACACAAATCAACGTTAGAAGCCTCTCGATTGAACCAAGCAATCGTTATCAGATTTTGGCATATACTTAGTTAGCATATACTTATAGATTTCAAATGAAACTGTTGGCTGTTTTTGAGGAAATTACCAATTTAAGAACCGCAAGAACTTATGGATAATTCTAGTATACAGTATCTAGCCAATTGTATAATTCAATTGTACCTTGGAGTCAATTGTATAATTCAATTTCAGATTGGAAATGCCCACTTTCTTATCGAAATGCTTCAGGAATCTGTGTTTGAAATATTTAAAGAGGATTGAAATAAATCTTAGTTCTAAACTTTATTCAATTTGTCAAAAATAGGCAACATTTCTTTTTGCTTTTCCTAATTGCATTCACATTTCGATCTTCCATTTGATTTCTCCACTTCTGTGCATTTTCCACTTTTGAGCTGCGGTATGGTGCATGGGCGATCTGGAAAAGAATATGAATTCAGAAATTTGATTCAAACTGTCAGCTATCGCAGTAATCAGTAAAATCAGTTTGGCTAAGTTTTCTCATCACAAAATTCTCACCAAAAGTCGCGCCCCGCACGACTCGGTGGCTCAATGGGGATCGACGGTCTCTCCTGAACAAATCAATAAACTTCAGGAACTTTCAGATCAAATGAAGACAAAAGTAATCAATTTCACTAATATGTAGTTTTTTTCAGCTTTTTTACCTGGACATTGCCTCCGATGTTGACAGTAGGAGACAGATGAGGAAAATTGCACAAAACAGCTTCATCCCTCAAATCTATAAAGTTTTTTTAAAACAAAAATCTATCAAATTTTAGATAAAGAGGTAAAAAAAGAGAATTCGTTTTTCGCTAAATCTTTTATGGCACCCGTTCTGTTTTGCTGGCTCACTTTTTCAATTTTTCAATTTTTTTTAGTGAACGGCCTTGCTGAGATAGCTCCCAAGAGTAAAGAAAATTTGTTGGATTTGTCAATTTCTACTTCCCGATTGAAAATTTGATGTTAGACCAAAAAAGAAATCTAGATCGAATTGTAAACTGATTGTAAATAAGCCAATGAATTCGTTCGTTTCAAAGAATTTCTAGAAAGGAAAGAAAAGAACGTGGAAAGAATTTCTAGGAGTTCTTTTGAAGTTCCGTGATGGATTCTTGTATCTGTAGATAAATGGGTATTGCCAAGATGAACTTTGCTTTTGTTACTGCATGAATCAAAAGTTTTATTGTATATCTTTCATTTATTCGCATTCGCATTGCGTTGTGCCATCAGAGTTATCGTTTTCAGTGCACTTTCCGCTGTTGAACTGCTCCTGTGTGCATTTACCATCTGGAATTTGTAAAAATCTTCTGAAAGAATGGTAAAAAGAGAATTCATTTTCAAGAATATGGATACATTATGGTATTTTTCTAAAGTAACTTTTCAAAATCGCGAAAAATTCTTACCGGTAAGCCCCCTTCGCACACGATTTCCGTTGATTCGTCGCATCCTGAACAATTAGATCATTTATTGTTGTAACGATAAATTAAGCTAATTTTCCATTGATTTAAGTAGAGTACTATACAAGGTTTAGATCAATTTAGATTCAAGTCGAATTCTTTTTCGAATCATACGTTGCTGTGCCCATTGCAAACAGGAGACAGAGAAGGAAGATCACTCGGAACAGCTGCATTATAAATTCCTGTCGAATATCTTAAACTAAATCGACTTTCAAAATTGAAATCGTAAACAGAGAATAACCTTGAAATATGTGAAAGATTCCATTTTGCTGACTCTTTTATAGACTGGCGTTTTGTCGTGGTTCCGTGCAAGTGATCGGGCAACACGCGGCGGTATTTAAAATCTGGTGATTTTAGCCCCATCTTTCATTTTGCTAGAGCTAGACTACACTAGACTTGCTAGAGCCAAAAATGGGAGACGGGGCTATTGTTTGATTGTTGTTGTTTGTGTTGTTGCTTGATTAACTTTATGTTAATTGTGTTCGACCCGGATGTTGTAATTCGCACTTGCGATATAAATATCAATTATTTATTAAAAAAAATAGCATTAATTGTTCTCAAATGCTGCACATCGATCAGAAGGAATAAGGCTACACAATAATTCCAGTGCTCTAGACTCTACAGGAATCCACTCAAAAGTTACTTGACACGCTACCTTCAACAATTTGTGGCCTAGACAACTTTCTTTAACACAACAAGTGCAACTTGGTTGCGTTACATCTGAACATGAACATTGAGTTACGGTATTAATTAAAGAAAAGGTATCGTTAATCTGTGACGATGACCATCGATTCGCATTGCCGTCTGTGTAGACAAACTTTGAACTAAAACTAACATTTTCTGACTTCAGCTTGATCTATTTCACGTTTCAAAAGATGTAGGCCGATCGGTCTGAAAATTAGTTTGATAAGATCTTAATGTGCTGTGCAGGAAGTGCCTGAGAATTTCCTAATTTTCAGATGAAAGTATATTGAGCTGAAAACTTGGAAAGTTGAGCCGAGATTAAGATTGCTCAAAACACAAAGTGCAAACACAAATAAGAATCCAGCTTTCAAACCCAGTGCACTAACACTAAAGAAATAATTTGCCTAAGAAAAAATTCTATTGACTTTAATTATTTTTTCAAAATTAAACCGTAAAACGGCACAATTTTCTGTACGATATTTTGAGAGTAATTTCAACATTTGATGGGTATCTATACCGAAATTGGATTGAAAATTTGGACCGAAATTGATCCGAAAGTAGAATCTTCAGTTTTCCTCTATCCAGTGGATTCCATCCGTTGATGAATCGAGAGAAGAGAAGAGATGTGTGGATCCAGTTGTCCCGGACAGAAGTGTCTATTAGTGATCCAATCCAATTCCAGGTAAGAATCAATACAAAAGACAAAAGCGTTAGCTTTTTTTCTATTAGGTTGATGCATAAGTCTTTTTGTTCCTTTTCGTCTGCCGTTTCAAGCCAACAAATGCACCAATTAAACTACGGTTGATTTCATTAGAAAAACCAATTATTTTTCTGCAAAATAACATTAAAACGGGTTTAAAAATATTTAATGCCTGGATTTTCTTGAGAGTATGAAGTCGGGTAGTCAAAAAGGGCTAACTCGATGATGCGGTTTAGACACCTTAGCTAAAGATAGCTAAAGAAAACCTATCTTTGTGTCAATAGATAAAAGATAGAGAAAAAAAGTTTGATATTTCGCCAAAATTTCAGAGAAATTCATTCAGCCAATTTTTCCGTAGAGTTTTTTATAGATTTTTACGAAAAAGGCGTTTTTCACTCTCGAATTTGCTTGAAAGTGAACCGAAATTGATTTAAAAAGATGGAAATTGAACAAAAAAACACTTTTTTTATAGAGCAAACTATAGATTAATTGGTGAATTTGTTACTTTTTAACAGAAGTACGAAAAAAACGAAAAGACTTTTGCATCAACCTAATACCTTTTTCATTCATTCTCTTCGTTCGTTGCCGTGAAACCTTGTGAAAATGTCTCAAATGCTCTTTGCTTTTTAACTTTCCTTTGAATTTGTATTCGTACTAATAAATTGCTCTACTTATTTTCTTGCATTCAAGATCTTTTATGTCTCCAAACAAATTGTAAAGAGTACAGCTGCAAAACAAGGTGTAATTGCTGAAAACTTTAAAATCAAGTTCTAATTATCAGAACAGCCATTTCTAAACTTATTTTTTGCATTTGTTGCTCCGGAAGCATAGCTATTTCGCAAGCAAAACTTCAGTATTTAAGAACAAAAGTACGTCCCACTCCTTTCAACACTCCCAAATTGTGGCTTCCTCATCCAAAAGACTGAACATTTTTCAGACAGACAAGGAAGAAACCATAGACAAATTGAATTCAACAAGAAATGCAACAATTTATCAACTAAATTCATCAGTTTGTGGATGGGATTGATCGGTGGAGTCGGGATCATCGATGGCTCCATCTACACAGGGACAAGCCTGGTCGGAGATCCTTTGCTGTCCCGTGTGTAATCAGGTGAGAGATTTTAAAATGTTTAGCTAAAGATCTTAGTTTTACAAAACGCTATCAAACTAAAGTAAATGAATCTATCTATACTTTACTAGTTAAAATATTTTACTGCATAGCTTTTGAAACCAAACAGCCTTAAACAAAGAGCTTTATGGTTTCGTCTAAAGATTTTGTCTAAAAGATAGCAAAGAGGATTTCTTGCTGAATTAAAATTCTTTACGCTTACAAAGCTAAATCCAAGCTTTTATCCAAATTTTATTTAATTTTTCAGCTTTTCTCCGAAACCCGTGCACCAATTTCCACCTCTTGCGGTCATGTTTTCTGTCGAGTTTGTGCCCTTGCAATCTCTGGATCAAATTGCCCAATTGATGAGGTATTTTGTTGAGATTTACACGAATTGCTTCACTAAACCTATCTATTTAATTATCTAGAAATTTTAATTTAGGCAGAAAACGGGTATCCAATCCGCGAGCTTCCCACCAATTCTGCAATCCTCTCAGTCGTCGGCGTTCAAAAAGAAGCCTCACAACAGATCAAAAATCTGTTGAAGAAATATGGTAAGATAAATATTTGATCAATGTTTAACTTAAAAAGAGTTGATTGAATATTTTTAGGCAAAGAACTTCCATCAACAGCAATCTCGAGTTGTGAGAAACATCTTTTGGGCCTCGCTTCTTACATGAGAAGGGCGAATTCGGAGAGAGGGGGCAGTGTGTGGAGTGAGGTAAAGAAAATCTACAGCAGAAGGGAAGTCTGTCTGTCCGTCTGTCTGTCACAGGCACTCTCCTCGACGCTCAGATCGAATTTAGAGATGCAGTTTTTTTGTTCGATAGGAAATTTTATGCTGATTTCGCCCGCAAAAAATCAAGAAAATTCATCGAACCGATTTTTTTAAAAAGTCAAAAAAATGCAAAACTAGCTGAGCCCTATGTTGCCTAACTTCTCTGCGCGCAGATGGCCGAGTGGTTAGAGCGCGCATCTCTCAAGCGAGACTGGGAAAGAGGGATCGTGGGTTCGGTCCACCTCCGAGAAAATTTGTTTTGTTTTTCTTTTCAAAATAGATTTTAATTGTTGGAAAGTCAATTTCGGGATCTGGATCAGGGGAGAGAGTGTTCCTAAACCTCCGCGCGATTTTCCCTGGCGATTCCCATATTTGGGATGAGCTAACTATAGGAATGGGTTTAAAACAACTTGAATAAATGAGATAAATGGATCCCCGACTACGTTCAGCCTCAACTGTCCAGCAAGATTCCTGCTTATAAAGACAATGTGATTATCGATTGAGACAACAACAAGGTTCATAAATTTACGTGAGACCTCAACCCGCAGCAGTTTTCAGCTGTGTTAGCAGCTGAAAACTGCTGGTAATCAATATAAATAATCAATACTCAAAAATATAAACTCAATAGTCAATATATCAAATAATCAACATAAAATTCAGCTACTCAGCCGAACGATTCAACGAAAATTGGTCTCTGTGTTATGTGCTCAGATTGTTGAATCGAATTGTAGACTAAAGGTGGGGATTGGTTCTTGAAGGTTCCATTACTTATCAAAAGGTGCCGGATTGGCAAATCTGCAAAATTTGAAAACTTAAAAGCCTTATTTGCTTAAACGTATACTCTATTTTAGCTGATGAGAACCCTCCGTGCTTTGGCTGAGAGAATAATCTCCGAGCAACTCCTTCAGCAACAAGCCTCTCACAGTCTCTCCACTCAACTCTGGACAACCGTCCGATCTCGAGGATGCCAATTTTTAGGGCCAGGTTTAAAACAAACTCCGCATTTGAATTTCCTTTTCAGCTATGCAAGAGGATGTACTCAAATTGATCCTTCTCACTCTCAGCAAGGGTGCTCTCATTGCGAGGAAGACTCTTGTCATGTACATAGTGCAAACTTTAAGCGAAGATTATCCACAGGTTTCGTCCAGCTTTTCGACTATATCTATACTATTTTAGGTATCAAAAACGTGTGTCGGACATGTTGTTCAACTACTTTATCGAGCTTCTTGTTTCAATGTGATAAAGAGGGAAGGGGAGAGCTCGTTGATGCAGTTGAAAGAGGAGTTTCGGTGAGTGGCTGTATGAGGCATTTTTATGGTAAACAAGTCAAGTCATCGTTGAGTAGAGTTTAATTTCGTTTGAAACGACTTCTAACTTTCAGAACTTACGAGGCTCTTCGACGAGAACACGATACGCAAATCGTGGGAATGGCGGTGGATGCGGGTCCAAGATGCCCCCTATATGGAAATAATCATTCGAATATCGCCTGATCGTTGGAGTAGGACTTATTACAAATAACTAATTTGCTAACTAAACTTACTACAACCCCCAATCAATTTGCTCAAGGAATCGAAGAATTGAAAACAAGCTCAAGAGGAATTTCTGATGAACACAAAGAGCCTTTCATTGCAGCTTTGCAAATCTTTGAGAAAATTTCAGGTTAGCTGATTTAATTGGAATTTAAAATTTCATTAAGTTTCAACTCGACGATGATGACTTTTAAAGAAAAAAAAGATAATGAATTGAGATTGAAAAAAAAAAAATTTATTAAATAAAAAAAACATGAAGATTCTGTCGGTAAAAAAAGAGTTCTGATGTGATTACGAGATGAACCGAGTTAAAAGATTACTCGAGGAGATCAACGGGAAGTCAGAGTACGAACAATAATAGGAGGATGCCCACAAACAACAATCATTTCAAGACGAAAATGTGCAGGTAAAATTTTGATTGGCTTTCGAGGTACCGTGTCTAGCTGGCCTTTTGATTCGAGACCGAGTCCATCTTATAGAGTCGGCCATGGGGATCTCGAATCCGTTTTTAGTTTTTGCAGAACGCTTCGCAAATTCAGAGACATTTGGCATAGACTGTTTACGCTAAAGTCTTGACGCAAACCTATAGCTGATATCTAAATTTCGGACTCGTTAAGAAGCTGTCACAAGCTCCCTGAACAACTGCTTCGGTGGTCTAGTAGATAGTCTGCTAGACTACCGAACATGGAGCATATTTTCCCCTCAAGTTCGAGTTCCACTCTTGCCAAACATTTTTAAAAAACTGTTTCCTTACGTATTTGATTGAATTATTGGCACGACTTTTATACACCGCGTTCCGTAACTTCGACAAATAATTTACAAGAGCTGAAACCTTCCAAAGTATCAGAATCAGCAGATAAGTCTAAAAAATTTAACATTTGTTGCCAGGTAAGTATTGAAAAATTTAATATTTGTTGCAACATTTCTGAAGGCTTCAAGTGCGCAAAATTCAACTCTCTTATTCATTGCAATTACGTAGGAAGACAGTTTTTTAGAAAAGCGAAAAAGTTTGGCGAAAGTGGGGCTCGAAATTGAGGGCAAAAAATATAATAGTTTCGGTAGTCTAGCAGTCTATTCATTAGACCACCGAAGCAGTCGTTACGGGGCGTGTGACAGCTTCTTAAGGAGTCCGAAATGTAGCTATCAGCGGTAGGTTTGCGTACACAGTCTATGCCAAATGCCTTGCGTTTGTGAAGCGTTCTGCAAAAACTAAAAACGGAATTGAGATCTCCATGGCCGACCCTGTAAGATGGACTTGGTCTCGAGTCAAAAGGCCAGCTTGACTCGTACTTTCCTTGTGAGAAATATTTGAGCAAGCCTTTTCCAGAAATATTTGAGAAATATAACAATTGTGCCAAATTTTAGAGAAACAGCCTCTGGGGAAGTTTGTGGAAGAGGAGATTCTTGTGGCTTTGCCCATTCACCCCACGAATTGAGAAGAGATGGCCCGCCACCACTCATTGCGAGGGGAATGAATGGTCCACCACCTTCACTACAAAATATACCGATGAACGGATTTCCATATCAAAATCAACAACATCATCTCATTACGGTAGGAAAAGCTTCACCACAAAGCAAGTTTGCTCTAGGAAATGCAAGGCATGACAATGAATCCGATGCTTCCGGCAGCTCCATTTGTTCAAATTCCCACTCAACCACCACCAATGTCTCAGCAAGGTATTTACAACTTTACCTAAGATAAAACAAATAAAATCATTATCACTTTTCCTCAAAATTGACACAATTCAAGCGAAAAAAACCTAAATTCATCATTTTAGAACCCCCAATGATGTCAATGATAATGCAAATGGGTGCTCCTGGTGTACCAATTCCGATCGACAGAACCATCCCACTTGGCCCGGCAATTCCACCACCAATTGTCCTGGTAAAATGGCTAAAGATTTATTGATTGATCTCAAGTTTTAAGATGCAACCACCACCCCTTTGGAACGGACGAGTCCCTCCATCACAACCACCACCACCGCCCGGCACTCATCTCATCCTCCCGCAAATAACACAACAAATACCGTGGATACAGCAGTAAGTTGCTAAATAAGTCACTTGTCATCATAATTATACTTTCAAAGTGTCCCCCTAAGCTCTAGTCGAATATCTTTTAATTTTGTGGAAAAATTCAAACAAACGGGGCAGCTACGAAAGCTACGAAGTCCCGCCGATTTTCCTAAAAGATTTTTCCTCGCTGCCCCCTTTTGTTTGAAATTCCCCACGAAACTAGAAGATATTCAGCTGAGTGGGCAAGGGGACACTTTGAAAGTCTAAACATAATCTTGTTCTTTTTATCCAATCGTTTTTTTAGAGTACCGATGGCTGAATACCCGCCCAATGCTCCGACTCCGGGTCTTTACTGGTCAGGCCCTTCACAAATCCAAGTCCTCTCCCCACAACCGATAAACTTTGTTCAAACAATCCCGATGATGGTTTGATTTTCCTAAACTCTCCAATTTGCTTCTTTCAGATCCCTCCACCAATGGATCACTCGTTTGAAAAGACTTCAGGCGATGAAACAGAATTGCTGCATTTGAAAAGGATTGAGATTTTGAAGTGAGTTGATTGATCGTATTGATGATACCGTAAATATTCTAATAGAAGCCCCCTATAGGAGCGTCGCATAGTCTAATAAGGGAAGGGCAAGTGGACAAGGTGGTCAAATGGCATGTGCTATATACCATTCGACGCAGGATTTCACGCTGATTCCGAATATGGTTTCAGTTTTAGCGATGCGCTACCCTATCAAAAGTTATATGAGTTTAAAGTTTTACAAGGCATTTTCGAACTCAAGGTCAAATTATGATAACTTAGTTTCGCAAAGGCCTTTCAAAAGTGGTAGTGGCCGAGGGCCCGAGTGGTAGTGGGTTAGCCTGGGAAGCGAACATTCTCCCGTTCGACTCCACCTTCATCTTTTCTTTTTTGCTTTTTTTTCTTTGACCAACTTGGGTGTTCTTTGTTCGCGCGCACAATTGCAAGTCATCTGGCACGCCATAAATAGTCATATGGAGTCATATGTTTTTTAATGTTTATTATATGCAAAAATTATCTAGTTTCTTGTGAAACGTAGATAGAATAAGGCTAATTTTGAAATGGAGAACACCCAAGTTTTGTAAAAGCAAAAAAAGCCGATTTTTCATCAAATATCATCATTTTTCAATCATTTTTTCTAAGCGCTGATTAAATTTAAAAATACGTGTTATATCTCAAAAAATCACCCATCGTCTCTACTTTAATTTGATACCTGAGCGCGCAGAAACAAACGTACTGGAATCGAGATATGAGCGTTTGTTTGAGGGTAAACTTAAACTACGCGACGCTCCTATGGGATGGGTTTCTATTAGAGTACTGACGGAGAAATCCGTTTTTAGCCGACTTGCCCCATTGTCATCGTTGGATGAAGAAGGGGAAGAGGGTGATGGAAGAGGGCACGTATCTTACACTGTAGCCAGCAGTGTTCTTGATGATTCTCATCGACATCCGTCATTCATCGGAATCATTCCTATGTAAGTGAGAAACTAGATAACAAATAAATCTTAGAATATCGCCGGATAGAAGCTGAAATAATTTTCGATTTTTCAGAAACAATGGAAATGTCTCGTTGGATCTCCCATCTGTCCCCTGCAATGTTTTCTCGTGTAACACTGAGGGAGATTTGCCAAACTTCATACCAACTGTAAGTCCCGTGACTAGCTACTATGATGCAAAATTTTTAAACAATCAGAATATTCAGCTGAGAATCCCACCGGGAGGTTCCCCAATCATGGCCACTGTGCAAGCGGATTGCTCAAGTATGACAGTGAAAGACGCGATTCGACAACCGATCACTGCTAGCATGATTACGCCTCATGGTATAGTATTTTATCAAAATTGAACTTCTAGATTTGTAAAATAGCTTCTAGTACAACACTTTAGTTACTATTACTTCTCCATTACCACCCTCAGCCAATCCAATCCAACAACTGCCAACTCGTATCATTCGGCCGATCGAAATCCCGATGATTGCTGGAGGTGCACAGCATTTCGTTTCGCAGACTCTCGATAAAATTGTCGATGTCAAGGTTATTAAAGCTAAAGAAGGGCTATAAAACTTCCTTCAGGAGCGATTAATTGAAGTTAGTGGACCGTCGTCATCAGTGGAAAGCGAGCAGTTGAGAGTGGAATTGTTGATAGCTGATCGACAAATGGAGGCTCTCGATCCGCACACACAACAAACGTGTCTTTTGATTGAGTTGGAGGAGGTAAACGGCTAAATAGCTAAATAAAATTGGCAAGCCATACGAGATCTGTAAAATCCAAGACTTGTAGAGAAAGTTCTTAGGCTGAAACGAATGCCTAGTTTGCTCACGAACATTCTTTTATTCTTCATTTCACTTAACATGCTAAAATAAAGACAATTATAAAAGTAAAGATAAAGCAAAAACGGATGCAGATCCAAAACTGTTTTATTTTAGGTTGAGAGAAAGATCGGGGAGCTTGGAGGGAATCATCCACCACCATTCACACCAGCGAATGTGATTTTCAAGAACGAAAGATGGTAAACAAAAAAGATTTACAATAATTAACTCTATAAAAATAGACTAAATTACCTTTTTCTCTAATAAAAAACATTTACAGTATTGAGCCAAAAGCTACAACAAAGGCGATCACAAAACCTCACCATTAAAATAGCCCAGTTCAAAGATTTGTTGCTTTATTTATTTGCACGCTTTTATGCTACTTATTTATTTATTTTTAATTTTAATTTCTTCAATCAAAATGATTTATATTATTTATCTGTTCTAGTTGGGTGCATCTGTGAAGAGAAATTGTGATTTTTGTCTGCGATTCGATCACGTTTTTTTGTCATATTGATTAAACAGTTTTAAAGTTTTACTTACAAAGGATATCAATCGGGTGTGGTGGCCAAATGACATAAGCCATTTACGATTCGACGCAGAATTTCACGCTGAATCCGAATCTGCTTTACGTTTTTGCTAAATAGCACTGCTAAATAGTCAAAAGTTATAAGCATTCAAAGTTTTGTATGAAATTTTAAAAATCATCTCTCGAGTTTACAAACAGATTTCCCAGAGGCTTTGGAAAGCAGTGGTGGCCGAGTGGTAATCGGCTAGAATGCAAGGCAATCCCCCCGGGTTCGAGTCCAAAGTCCAGTCCCTTATTTGATCAAATAAGAGTGAAATCGAAGAGAAATTGAGAGGAAAAAGAACGAAAAGGTCACCACAAAAAAACTCATAATGTCATAAAGTTATCTTGCGATCTTGCGGAAGTCAGAAGATTTATGGAGAATCTCGACCTAGATCTAAATCTGCTCTGTAATATTATGGGCTAGGAAATGAAATCTTCATTTTATGATCAAGGGCTTTTGTGAATTTGAGAATTTGACTGACAGACATTTCCTGAGTAGAGGATGCCAGAAATGGTCACGATTGTTATAGCAATTGTAGCAAATTTTTAAACATTTCGGTACTAGATTAATTAGTACTAGGCTTAGTACTGCTACTAATTAGACTAATACTAAACCAGTGGCTATCATTGCTTTTTAATCACATACGGTTTTGAACTCCGTCTGACTGAAATGAATGGTCGCAGAACGTTTCAAAATTCTTTTTGTCCAAGATGGACACTCTGGCAGATGAGGATTTATGATGTATTGATGAAATTTTATCACTGAACATTTAATAAAAGTCTCCGTTGAGCCCCCGTGACCTTTCGGAACGAGACCTAGATCATCTTGTAGAGAATTTCATTATTCCGATGGTGTACAGTCGACTCTCTCGATAACGGAACTCTATATAAAGTTCTATATAACAGAATGGAATTTTGGTCCCGACCGACGCTAAGCTATATATAACGGTACTCTATATAATGGAAAGCTCTATATAACGGAAATTTTTTTTTTCTCTTCCATTCCGTTATAAAGAGAGTCGACTGTATTTAGTTTTTGCGGAATGACTCTGTAACGCATTATTTGACTCTTATTTGACAAAAACATTTTTGGCATGTCAATTTGAGGCTTGCGCGCACTTGCCTAGCAGATGGTCTGGTGATGTCAAATATGGAAATGATAAAATACGCTTGATTCTCATTTGATTACTTGGAAAATCATCCGAATTCATTTCTGACACCGCTGTTATACTATTTTGAAAGGAGTGTTCCTTCAAGAGATTCCTGTGGTAATAATTGCCTCGAACGTGCATTTATTCGTTGTCCCTTCTGCGAAAATTGTGACTCTTTTTGTTGTTTTATCGGCTTATGCCATCAATTTGTTATAAATTATTGTTATAATACTTTTAATGCCCTGTTGAGTTTCGTACCCAAGTTGTTTACAAATCTATTAATACCTTTTATAACTTGAACCTAACGAAAGGACTTGTCTTTTACACAAAAGTATAGTAAGAAAAAAGCAAAAAATTTAGCTAAAGTGGGGATTGAACCCACTTTGAGTGGGTCAGAAAGTTTCGTAGACAAGCGTATGCACTACACCACCAGAACATCTGCAAGTGTGCGCAAGCCTTAAATGGACACCCCAGAAACGTTTTTTTCAAATAACTCACATCAAATAAGTGTCAAATAACAGAGTCATTTCACAAAACTAAATACACCATCGGAATCCCGTGGAATACATCTACTAGATGATTTGGATCTCGTTCCAAAAGGCCATGGAGACTCAACGCCATTCAGTCAATCTGTCTTAATCAACTTTCGACATATTTTCTTCAGTAATTCCTTTTGTTGGAAGTGGTGTGGCTCGAGAGAGATTGAACATTTCTGAGTGGGGAATCATTTTCGATCGATCTTGTTTCCGTCGTGATGCCCAATTGAAATAGATGACAACCGATCTAAAGACTTGGAGGGAAATTAATTGGAAAATAAATTTGGGACTAATCATTGGTGTGGAATTAAATTTGATGAATAAAAAAAATAGAAGAAGTACTTTTTGCAATGCTCACCCAAGTATTGTGTGAAAGCAAAATGGACCCAAATCAGAGCCTAGGAAATAAAATATCGGCAACACATCAACCATGACATTGTTCACAAGATAAGTCCAAACATGGAAACAGATTGTGATAAAGTGAGTGATCACTAACTAAATTCACCTTGAGTTTATCAATATTATCCCAACTCTACCATAATCGAAAGTCGAACGTCCGCTCTTTTCTTTGACTCGGAAATTTTTACCTAAAGATTTATTGTTAAAGAAAGCATCAATGATTTACAAGTGTTCGAATCTTCCATAAAGTCAAGAAATCAAGCAACACTGTTATTGCCAGTACTCCATACATAAAATAATCAAAATAAGTGTTCAGGATGTCGAAAATCGGACCCCGATTGAAGATGGCCACATAGAAGAATTCCAAGGGTGAGAAAAAGAAACCACAAAAACAACGGAAGCCTGTTTTCTCGTCAACTACTAAATTTCACAGTTACAACAGGTAAATTATAAAAATTTTATCGTATTGCAACACTTACAATATCCGGTTTGTAACAAAAAGAAGAGTATCGGGAAAAACCAAAGCAGAAACGCGTGCGGATAAGCCCATCTTTCGATTTGGCGATAATGTCGACCGTGAAAGAACACGGCGAAGACTCTAGATAAGTTTTTATCTAGATTAGACACATTTGATTTGATTTTGATTTAGATTAGACACATTACTAATCTCATCTTCTGAAAAAATCCACCTGTTAAAGCACAATCCATGTGAGAGCATTTGCATCGAGTAACTCATCCCATAAGTGAACGAGGTGATAATTGAATTGAAAAAAATCCCCGCAAATGGATAGGGATCTTTTTGAACGCATTGCCATCTAAATTAGCAGTTTTATTAAACAAAAGCTGTAGATCAACTTGAGTAAACAGTGAGCTTTATAGAACTCGATCCATGACTCGTTCAAACGGCAATACGTGTCCACCAAGAGATAGCATTTGACTGCTTTAGATATATTAAGGTTACGGCAGATGCTTAGTGCACAAATAATGTTTAGCGCTGCTCCAAGACAGCCTGACTAAATGGGCTTAGATTTGATTGATTGAAAACTTAGGGTTAAACCGTCTTACTGATTGAAAACTTTTGGGTAAACCGTCCAAAGCTGTGCTCTTGAGCAAGTTTACACTGTATTTACGATCAAAAACCAAATTCAAATACTAACACTAAGCATCGAGCTGATAACAGTCCACAGAATATCATGATTGATCGTCGATGGAATCGGTAAACCATCAAATCCATAGTAGACCTGATTTCTGAAGATAGCATTCACTCCAACACCCGTCACACAATCCCAAGTTGTGTTTGGATAAGTCTGATTGTCATCATAAGCCTCGATATAATAATAGTCAGTTGAGGAGGAATTGGTAGAATTTGATATAACGACTGATTGACCCCATGCTGATATCAACGTATCTGTAGTATTAGACATTCAAAAGAGGAGAAATGAGCGCAGGTGACTTTACGGAGTCTTGGAATTGAACCTCATTTTTGACTAAATTAACGGGTGTCGGTAATTCGATTCGTTTTTGCGTGGGCTTGATTCGGCAGTCGTTTTTGAAAATCTTTGTTCTTTCTTGGAAAAACGAAACTTGGGGGAAAGTCAAACATTTGTTTTGTTTACTAGTACGTATAAACAGTACTGCGCTTTATGCATTTCAAAGTGAATACTGTTTTTACTCTATTACTGCGCTTCTAATAGTTCTGCATCCTCTTTTAGGATTGAGGGCCGGGGGTAGATCGAAAAAAATAGTAATGTAGTAGCCCACTTCTTTGCTAATGAAGTAAATGTGTTCCAGCTTGTTGGCTGAATTGTGCAATTGTGCAATTGTGCAAAATTGTGCAATTAAGACGGCTTTGATCAGAAGGTGCTCTCAATCACTATTTCAAGAAAGATGATTCACTTCCAGAAAGAGCAAAACAAGCTCTTTCTAAACAAACGAACAAGCAAAGCAAGGCCGAAGCCCGGACTTGAACAAGCCGTCAATGGAATAAATGATCAACACGAGGCATTTTTTTTAATGATTTGATTTCAGTCTTTGATCTACTAGGTTGTTTAAAAAGTTCGCGGTCACTTGCAAAAAAGTTCAAATTATCTAATTATTTTGACAATGAATTGGTATGGTTTTTGGCTCATTTGAAAGCTTGTTTTCTTGAGAGCATTTTGTTATATAACTTACTTTACTCATTCCACAGATGGATAAAAGTGAACTTCGTGTTTTGCTTCGTTGAAGTTGAAGAAGCGTGTAAAGAGTTCTTTAATTCAAAGGAGCCGGCTTGGTCCTTCGAGCAGATCCGAAATCTTGCTGATCGATTGGTTAAGGGCATAGAGAATGACGGACTATACTTCAAGGAGTGAGCGTTCTTGTTTTTGTTAATTATTTGCGAATAAAAATTGAATTTTTCTGCAAGTGCGAACCGCGAACGCGCGAAACAACCTAATACATCAAGGAATTTTCTAGTTTCGTAATATCATCAAATTGGTAATATATCATCAAAGGTACCGAAGAGGAAACGAATGGGAACCGTTCAGCCCATAGATGTTCAATAGGGTTTAAATCAGCACTCTGGTTCGGCCATTCCATAAGACTATGGCCATTCCTTTCTTCTGAAACCAGTCCTTTACAAGCCGCGAAGTATGTTTCGGATCATTGTCCTGCTGAAAAAGAAAGTTAGAAGGCATCAGCTGGAGGGCCTTTGGAAGCATATGGGCCGATAAAATGTCCAAGCAAACATGTTGGTCCATAATTCGATCAATGCGTTTTAACGGGATCATTCCCGTAAGCTGAAAAGCCGCACCCATACAAGAACACTATCACCGCCGTGCTTTAAAGTCGGAATTTCTCCTTTACTGATTTTTTGTTGATAGGACAACGAAAATATCGAATTCGAACTTACAGGGTGTCTCAAAATTATAGAGCGGAAATTCGACCATTGATCTTTTGTTAATTTTCAAGAAATTTTTATAGATACCTTAAAAATCATTTAAGAATCATTGAATATAACAAAAATATAACATTATTCTTCAAAGTGGCCTTTACATTTTCGTAATTGTTTCGGAAAGTCATCCATGGCTTTTTTGATAACCTGCACACCAATGTCGTCCCAAGCTTTCTCCAAATCCTTCTACAAAGACTGAATTGATGTGTGAGGCTTGCAACAAGCCTTGGACTGCAAGATCGACCAAATGCTGTAATCCAAAACATTCAAATCCGGGTTGGATGGCCATTGGGATTTTGCGCGCTTATGTCAACTGTGATCCATTCAGGAAAATTCATTGTGATCTAATCTTGCGTTTCTCGAGCTGTATGCCATGGAGCTCCGTCCTGAAATACCCAGGGCTTATTACCGAAGTGCTGCTGACTCCAAGGCAAAATTTCTGTTTTCAACATGTGCAGATATTCATCCCAGTTGGAACAGGATCCACTCCATAATTTTGTGACGCCCTGCAATTGTTACTTTTTATGTTTCCTGTTATCTTAATAAAATTAAAACAATATGCCTATTCTCCAGAATTTTTGGAAGAAATATCATTCCTTTGCGTTTGAAGTTTTTACATGTAGTTTGATTGATTTAGTAAGTACCTATTTGCTTTGTTTGAACTAAAAAATAGTGCTGCGCCTCTAATAGTACTGCGCAGTACTCATAGAGTAAATACGGTAACTCAAAATAACATAATTTTGAGATGAAACCAGCTTCTATTCTCACTACATTGTAGAAATCAACGAAAATTTTGTTATTAGGAGTAACAATCGTTTTCAAATTGACATTCAAAGGGTCGTTAATCATCAACTGAACATCAATCTCGCTTATGGCAAATACCCAAAAGATTTTATCACAAAGATCAATCTTGCCAAAGAAAACCCAAGCACACATGATCAACTACCTCATTTTGACTCATTTGACCCATGAAAGATGACCTATTTTTATCACTTTTCATACATTTTCATAAGTTAAGGGCCGCCCGGGCCCCCCTCTTTTTTCTCTTTACCCCCCCCGCCGACCCCCCCGCCCCCCCCCCCCCCCCCCCCCCCCCCCCCCCCCCCCCTCCCCCCCCCCCCCGGGGGGGGGGTTTTCGGGGGGGGGCGCCGGGGGGGGGCCCCCCCCCCAAAAAAAAAAAACCCCCCCCCCCCCCCCCCCCCCCCCCCCCCCCAAAAAAAAAAATTTTTTCTTCCCCCCCGGGGGGTGGGGGGGGGGGGCCCCCCCCCCGGGGGGGGGGTTAAAAAAAAAAAACCCCTTTTTTTTGTTTTTTTTTTTTTTTTTTTTTTTTTTTTTTTTTTTAAAAAAAAAAACCCCCAAGGGAGCCCCAGTCGGTATTTTAACCCTTGAGATGCACAATCACAAGTTATAATTCTTGACTTCTTGAGTTTTTCTATTTCAAATATAAATTCAATTCAATTCTTGGCTTATTTCTATTTCAAATATGAACTCCATTAGAATAACAACACTAGTCTTCTTCCTTGAAAAATCAATTTAAAAATTCTGTCTAAGGCCTTGAACTGTAGCTTAACAATGAACACAAAAACTCATTATCAGATGAGTCATAGTTGTTCCAAAATATTCTCGCATTTTGATGGAATCCTTCTCATTTTTTCCCAACTCGTGAATGGACAGGTTTTGATCTCTCAAAAAGAAATCTCTCAATGATTTATAACTTTTCTCTTTATTGAAAGATAAACGTCATGAACTTTTATCAAAATAAATATTGGAAAATTTTTCCGAGTTTAAACAGATCTGAAAATGCTTCCTTATTCAATTTTCTTGCTTCTTGGAATCGGTGCGAAAGCGATGTTCTTCAGAGGAACGATGTGTAAATCATCGGTAAACTTTTGGACTTACATACAATTCATTAAGTTACCAACAATTCTGAATTCAAAACAAGATTCAGATTCACTTCAATTCAAAACATTCAGTTTATATTGGTTCCATTGAGAGTTGAATATTAATCACTTTCCATTTGAACTTACCCATTTTCAGATTGCGAGCTGCGATGAAGTGCCCGGTTTCAAGAATCTTGGTGGATCTTGTTATGCAGTGGGTTTAGTTTAAAATGATATATTGTCCTGACGATTTTAAGCTTAGTCATGTTTTCTAGGCCATTGAAGTGAAAGACACATATGAAAACGCTCGTGAAGCCTGTAAACGACTCCATCCAAAAGCCGATTTGGCATCGATTCGATGCGAAAAGGAAAATGCTTTAGTTGCTAGTTAGTTTACATCATAGAAAACCCAAGATAAGATTAAAAGCTATTGCAGAATAAATAGCTATCCAAATCACTTAAAAAATGTTTAGGTTTTGGCAAGCTCCATCTCGAAAAACATTGTAACGGATATGGATACAAGACTCAACATTTCACGTTTCTTGATGTAATTTTTAATAGACATCAGATACATAGTACGTGTTTTACAATAAAATACGCAATGACTTTGTTAAAAAACAGCAATGCATTTAGGACGCATGGATAGGTTTCAATCGTACAGATCCGGAATCAAATGGAGAATGGCTGAATGGAGTCAGCTCGAGTTACAGGTAAAGAAAAACAAATAATAACTAGAATTTGATCAGTTTTATCTTAAAAAAGTCACAAGTAGGATAAGTTGAAACTTTAAAGCAATAGTTTTTTTGAATTCAACATCAAAGTTTCAGAAAGTGGAACTATGGGGAGCCAAATAATGGTCTTGGAGCTCGTCCCGAAGCGGCTACTGCTGTAGGTTTTTCAAGATTAGCTTTTTGCAAATTTTTCGCAAAAACAGTTAAACGAAAGCAGCTTTTGAGCTTCTTGAGCATACAAAAAGAATTCTAGATGCAAATCAAGGGCTCATGGTCATTGGGTTATTGGAATGACATGCATATTGATGACAAGATGTGCGGAGCTATTTGTGAAGTGATTGTGGTTCGTGGATTTGCATAAAAACAGCTAAAGAATGCTAGAATTGTTAAAATTTCTAAGGGAATCATTATTTTAGAAAACAAGTGGTGGCAGTTGTGGAAGCTACAACGCTTGTGCGGAGCCCTTAACCGTTCCCGCTGTGTTGCTTTACTAAAACAAAAAGGGAATTGAATACTTTTTGAATAGAATGCTTACTTTTCTCTTAATAAAATAAATTATATTCACAAGCATATGAATGTCAAGAGAAGGGCTACTTCAACTTTGGATCGTTTCCCGGATCAACATCTATTAGCTTAGACCAAATGAAATTTCGGCGACTTTACCATGACCCCATTCCTTCAATTAACCATAGATTTTTCTCATTTTTTAAAAGTAAATACTAGAGACATTTTCTGTATTAATCTTGAAATAAGGAGCAGATTCTATGGTGAATTCATCAAGAACGGTCAGCTTGAAAAATCTAACTTTTATATGCCTGTAAAAACCATGTTTTACCATGAAAATATCAGTTTCTTTGATATTAGTAGCAACATTACTAGAGTTAGTCTATGTCAAAATTTGAGAGAACTCTATGGCGAAACAAGCAAAAAAAAAATCAAAGGTTTAAAATGACGTTAAGCTTGAATAACTGAACCGAAGCGCTGAATCAACATCTAGTTGACTGAAGATGACGTTCTAAACAATTCTACAGGGATAACTGTCATTGAAGCTTGTTCTTCAACAAGTAAACACTAAAATAGATAAATTTTATAAAACTTTTTTTTGGATAAGCTCCCAATTATCTTCTTCTAATTGCATGTTTTACTTGGCATTCAAAGAAAACACTTTTCTTCATTTTCTTTACTTACAGAGTTTATTTTTTCATTTCATGCTCTCATCAAATCAAAGACATTTTATTAAATCAATTCTTTATATCATTGCAAGTGCAGGTTTTCTACTGCTAATCAATTTTCTTCACGGTTTCGTAAATAAAAGTGGAATCGAGAGCAATCAGCTTTTTCAAAATAATGACCGAAATTCGGTGATTGCATCAACAGCTATTGTGAGTCAATTTAGGCGTAAACTCATTATTAGATTCATCAAAAAGCAAGACAGTTGTTTTCACGAGCTTTCGAAAGCTTCATCAAATTTTAGACTCAGGAAAAGAAATTGACAAAGGAAACAAGAGTTTGGGTTGTTTCCACTGCCACCATTTCCATCCGATTCCGCTTCAAAATCTGTAACTTCAACTTTCAGATCTATTTTGTCTCCACTCCAATCAACTTAGTGGGTACATCTGTAATTATTCGGAATCCCCGTTTTGTTCTCCCAATCAAGCTCTTGTTGGCCGCTGATTCGCTAGCCACCGCCATTCTCTCTTTCATCATTTTCTGCAACTTTAGTTGTCAACTTAAGTAAGTTTTCAACTAGCAACAAATGACAGAATCTAGCTGTGATAAAATGCCGAATCCAGTCGCCCTTCGGCCTTTTTTCCCCTGTCAGATCACTTTCTATGATATTCCGTATATGTATGGATCTTTCCTTGCTCAAACTCAGTTATACACTAGATTTTGTGAGCGATAAAAACTAGAATATTCAGCAAAGCTTGATTTCAGTGCTTTCAATGAGTAGATTCTTTGCCATTTCATTTGATGGCATTTATTTCAAAAAGACTCTAAAATATCCATTTGTTCAAGTGGGCCTCGCTGGATTGGTGATTCCATTAATTGATTCTTATTTGGTGAGTGTTTTGGAAAGTTATTGAACTTTAACCAAGCAAGTCAAATGACTAAAAAGCATTTTTAAAAGAGCTTTCGTTGACTCAAGCTTCAAAATGTGTCAAAATATGTCAGGTTGCTGCATATCTTGATCGTCCACCGAAAGGAGCTCACTGGATTGCACCTGAGAAGTTAACCACTTTCTTCGGCTCAGCAATGCTAGCAATTGATGTCCTTGTCTTTATTAATATGAGAAAAAGACAAGTATGCAAATTTAGCAATAAGTTAAGAACAAATTCCAGCAAACTGAAAACTCGAACAAGAATCGAGCCGAACAGAAGTTGGCGATTCAGGTGAAATTGTGAATTCAAAGCTCATTCAGCTTTTCAGATGGTTGGAAATAGTAGTATGTTTCTGGGTGAGAATTTATGTCAATTCTTCGGATTATTATCTATTTATTTTCAACATTCCGATATTTATATCTTTATTTGGTGCATTTCTACAGTACTCAGGGCTGTTTCATTTATGTTTTCAGGGTGAGTTTGAGTCGAAATCGAGCCAGGGGACAAGTAAATTGAAATCGAAAAGACATTAGCAAATAAAAGCGGATACCGAACTAATTTATTTGATCCAGGTACTGCACCTACTGTTTTGTTAAAACGGCTCTTCCCTGAATCGTGGTGTTTCGAAAGTTTAAAAGACCACGAAACTTTCAAAAGACCACGATTCAGGGAAAGAGCCGTTAAAGCTAGTTCCAAAGAAACTGGCACAAAGATTGATACTTTGTATTGATGTTCTGTATAATCAGCGGACTCATGAAAACTTTCAGTATCCTCACTGTAGTTTTCATTCGGCCCGCATCAACGGAGAAAATGGTTGAAATCACTCATGTGAGCTCAACTGATTCATCAAAAAGCTCTACAAGTGTTGCTTCAAATGTCGGACAAGTGGGAAAAAGGAAATAAAGAAAGAACAGCTTATTTATTGTCAAATGCCTTTTCTTGTTGTTCTTCTTCTTTTGCGGGAGAAATCATTTTGGGCTGCATAAAATGTTATTCATCCAAGAACAACTAAATGAATGCTTTTATCAAAAATCACCAGAAGGAAACAGATTTGGGAATCGCCAGAAAGAAACAGTTTAAAGAATTGGATTGCATTTGAATATATTAATTGCCAAAGCTCTTTTTATACAAATAATTCTTATCAGTTACAATTTAATAATTCTCACCAGTTCATTAAAACCCAAATTTAAACTCGAATTTTACTTCTCAATCCACTAGATTCATTAAACAATACACTTTAACCAAACCTTCATTTGAAACAATTCAAAGAATGAGTGATTTCCAAGCACAAAAACTGATTTTTCAACTTTCGCAAACTGCAAAAATCAATTTTGAGGGAAATTTTGGTTGAACCCCGTTAATTTTCATCTTTTTTTTGCGCTCTTTTCCTTTTTTGGCCAAATCCTATTTCATTTTCTTGAAAGAAAGAAGAAAAAGGTCATTTTTCTGACAGATTTTATTTGGAAATACTCACTTTGCAACATTTTGACACGCAATTTTTCATGATTCTGATAATTAGGTAGCAAAACATGTTAAAAAGGTTTTTAGAACCAATACACAATTGCTATTTCTCCTTGAGTCTACTTTGTTTTCACAAGGCAACTTTCCTTATTGTCTTGATGATGAAATCTGGTTAAACTATGATGTCTTGACAGCCAGAAGCAGTTGAACGTCAGGCGAATTCTTATTTCGCTGAGCTTGATAAAAAGTCAGAACTTTAGCCTTGGGAAAAGGTTAGCGAAATGTTTGCTGTTGTTGATTCGGGAAAACAAAAACAAAACTTTAAATGAGCTTTCTAGTAGTATAATTTACAGTTAAATCTAAGATTTATCTATGCTTTAAGGCCACAATCGACCACCAGGCGTACAATGATCAGGAGACAAATGACTTTGTTGATGAAAGCAACGAATCGAATGTAGGAAAATCCCGATTGCTCAGATAAATATAATTTGAATAAAATTAGTATTTCTTAAAATAAATTTCAGAACTCGGGTATTTTACTGAGCAATGAGCTCATTTTCTGAATCCTGACTCTTAAAATGGTCGCTCACAAAAATTCAAAAAAAAGAGAACTTATTGACAAATAGCTTGGCGTTCGACTCAAGAAAATTAACGAAAAACGCTTAAAAATCATTAATATTGTTAGTTTTTATTTACTTCTTGCCAAAATTGCCATAAAACTTTATTTCTTATTTTTCTTTTGCGCAACGGGCGAATAGGGCATTTTGAGTGGCTGCTGCTCGCCCGGTTTGATTGGAGCCGGTTGACGGACAAAGAGAATGGTGAGCAGACTGAAAAAGGAGTTGATTTACACTTGGCCTAGGTCAATTTATTGATTCACTCACCCAACAACGACCAAATAAAAGCCGTTATCGAAAAAATCAATGAGAATCACTAGAAATTGACAGAAATCTTGATAATCGGTGTACCGCAACAGCACTCCAATTGTTTTTAAAATGAGATTGGTGATCAAGTACATCAGATCGATCGCCAACAACTGAAAGAGGTGGGACAATGATTTTGAGTCATCGAGCTATTGTAACAAACCCGTTTCGAGATACCCAAACAAATCACTCTCAATGGGGTGTGATGGGATTCCTAAATGAAACATTCTATTAGCACTACAGCCACTAACACCTTCAATTTCCTGTAAACGACAAAATTGCTGCCGGTTTGAATCGAGTACATTCCATAAAGAATCGTGTACCAGGGAAGATCTTGGAAAAACGATTGATTCTCCCAATCAGCACCGATATCAACGTCTAGAGTTGAACTTTTCAATGATCTAACCAAAAGATTTCAAAACCAACTATTTAGCAAAATTGATAAAGCAGCTCCAGCTGATGCAAAGATTAGCGCCTGGAAATACGAGTATTGTTGCCATTGTTTCTTGCGGAGATTGTCACATGTGAAGGCTGTGTAGAGATTCAGGGAGATGCCTGCAATGATAAGATTAGATTGCAAGCTTTACGGGATATAAGTTTTAAGTAGAATTTGGTCAACCTGTACTTGCATTCTACAGTTCTTAGTCGGAAAGCTCCAACCGGGTCCTAGGCCCTGCTACAGGTGAGCCTGGACCTGTATACAGGCTCAGGCTTGACATCTATCGGCCAGGACAACTGCTATTCCAACCGTATGCCCCGTCCAATTCCCCGTACAATAATCTGTACAATTTCCGTGGAAAACTCGCTGGCAGAGTATTCCCGCGTAAGCGCATAGTATCCTGGAACGTTCTTTTCCGGCTTGACTTCTGTCGATCAGGCCAGCCGCTGTTCCGGCGGGTATGTGCCAAGCTAAGTCCAGGTCAGGCCCAGGTCCGTCCAGGATCAGAACCAGTATCAAAGGTTGGTGCCAGTCTGATCCAGGTCTGTTTAAGGCCAGGGTCAGAGTCAGGCTTGGCTTCTGGTAGACTTCATTGGGCTGGGCTTGCAATAAAGGAAAAGGAAATGTTGCCATTGTTTCTTTTGAAGATTGTCACAAGTGAAGGCTGTGTAGAGATTTAAGGAGATGCCTAGAAGAGAGTGATTCTAATCAGATTCTAATTTTTGATTAGAATTTGGACACTTCATAAGTCAAGCTTGGGCCAGGCTAGTCCCAGACGAGGACCAGGGTCAGGCCTTGCTTCGGGTTGACTTCCTTCTGGAATCGGACCTGTCTGGCAAGGTCAGAAGTCCGGTCAGGATCTGTCTCATCCCTTAGTTTCTAGTTAACTAACCAAATAGCGAAAAGATCATAACGGATCCAAGGTGATCCTTGTAGACACCATGAAGTGCGTCAAACAAGCTTGAAAGCATAGATGGAAACCAAGATAATCTGTACAATGAGTTAAAAACAAAAAATAAAAAGAATTTAAAAAGAAACAGGTTAAAAACAAATAAACAACAAACGTTTTTGCACTCCCACAGGCATAAATTAATTGTAAAGTTGATTGAAAAATCGTCGATAGACTGTCGGCTGTGAGAAAAACATAAGTCGATTCTTCGAGATCGATGATCGACAATGCCCTCATCATGCCAATAATGTTCAAAATCAGAGCAATAAGACAGAAAATGCTTTTTATCTGTTTTGTGTTTGGGAATTACGAGAAATCTTCGACTCAACTCACCACATAAACCAAGTCAACAGTTCTTTGAGTAAAACGAGTACTCAACAACAGGAAAATCGGGTTACATTTCCGCTTGTACTCGACTTCATTCGAGAAGACGAAAATGCTCATGTAGGCAACTGAATTTAAAAAAGTCATTCTTTGTCCTTGTTTTGCACAAATCGCTATTAGTTTGGTATGTTAAAAATCTCAGAAATATCGTTTCAGAAATACTTTACTTGTACTCCAAACAGAATCATTCCTCTTGACTAATGCGTTTCCAATTTTGTCACCTCTACGTAAAGGGAAGAGATAATAGAGGTAATAAAAAAAAGGAATCAAAAAGTAATCAAAAAGTAATCAAAAAGTAATCAAAAAGTAATCAAAAAGTAATCAAAAGAGAATCTGAGACTTAGTGAGCTATCCATAAACTCACGTACTAAAAATACTCACATTCAAAGTCACAAAACTTACTAAAAAGCATTGCCGATATATTGAGTAATGTTCGATCGTCATGGTGAAGAGCCATTTAATGATTTAGGATAAGAAAGCTTTCAAAATTTTGAAGTTCTTGAAAAGAACGAATAATTACAGCTTATCTCACATTCAAATCGTTTTTCAAGCTTTTCAACCAGTCATTAGTTTTCCTTTTTGATTCTTTGATGAACTTTTCTAGCTATAGCAGATGAAAATTGAAAAATCTAAACGATAATTTGGTTAAAGTTGACCATTACTTAGCCTAGTATACAGTGTTCTTGTTGGAAAAGTTGTTTGAAGTGTCGTAAAGTTTTGAACTTACAAATTTGCCAAACACTTGTTTGAAGTTTTGAAAAGAGCAAGTAATTACCGCTTAACTATCATCAAAAACTTTTTCAAGCTTTCAACTGATAAAGCCTAAGCCAGGCTCTGAGCCTGGCTAATAACCGATCACTTGTTAACTAACCGAATAGCGAAAAGATTATGATGAATCCAAGGTGATTCTTGTAAACCATGAAGTGCATTAAACAAGTTTACAAGTATTGGTGGATACCAAGACAATCTATGATACACTTATTCCGGATTGAATTTATCTTGCAAGACTTTTCTCACTTTTACATGCATAAATGATTCGTGAATAGGTGCATAAATGCAGTGCTGATTGAAAAATTGTCGAAAGACTGGCAGCTATGGGAAAAACTGTGAAGAAAGTTGACTCTTCGAGATCGATGATGCGCTCATCATGCCAACGATGTTCAAAATCAAGGTAACAAGACAGAAAATGCTTTTTATCTGTTGTATGTTTGAGAATTACGAAAAATCTTCGACTCAACTCTTCGCAAGCCAAATCAACAGTTCTTTGAGTGCTCAATAAAAGAAAAACCTACTGTAAATACTGTAATAGTACCCCACCCCCATAAAGACGTGTTGCGGAGTGTTGCGTAGTCTAGCTTTGAACGAGTTTTTCTCGACACTGGTTTATGCTACAATGCGCGCGTAGGTATCAAAAAATAGCCCTGAATTTCAGCTATTTTTTTGATACCAAAGACGTATTTTTGAAAGTACGGGCGCTTTGAAAAAAATGAAATACTAAAAACTTTTGCGACTACGCGAGGAGGGTGCTATTACAGTATTTACGGTAGTTGTACTCCAGAAGATGAAAATGCACATCTAGGCTCATCAAAATCGAAAATGTTTCTTTGTAGTGCCGGGATTATCCAAAGGGTTCGTTTGGTTAAATATTACTTCTTGTGTCATGCACTTATTTTTACACCAATTCCTTGACTGTTACGGCCTTAGAGTTGGAGGATAGATGGATTGTTTGAATTCAAAAATTATTGAAAAGAAACGTCGATATATTGAATAGTGTACGATGATGATGGTAACGATAATCATCATGAAGAACCAGTGATTAACTTTCAAATTTAAAACCCGGAAAACTTTAGAAGTGTCAACAATTGTGAGAAAAACCATTTATTTAGCTCTTTCTTCACTTCAAACGAACCTTTCTAACCAGTTTTAGTTTAGCTTTCGTTTATTTATTAATTATTTGAAGGAAAATAACTTTTCAGAGCAGAAAAGGGGAATAGCAGATGCAAATGACGAATTGTATGCAATATTTGCTGATGGCAAGCAGACAAAAACATTTTGAGATCAAGATAAGATCAAGATTTTCTTGTGTCAGTTCTCACTGATTTTTTCGTTTATTCAATTAAAGAAGCCCAAATGTTAGCTATAAGTGGTAAATGTACGCAAATTCAGGGTCAACAATGATTCTTTTCATCATCTTGCATCTTGGAATTGGCGCTGAAGCAATTTTCTTCAAACAAGCTTCTACCAACGTTTCAGTAAGTTTTTGCGCTCAATATTCGAAACTGATCTGCTGTCTAAACTGTCATCAAACAGGAAGTCAAACTGTCAAAATCAAACTCAAAGAAACAAACTTTAACCGGAAGCACTTGTTAGCTTAAAAACAGTTTTACCTCAACGACAAGTTTTCAGAGTTGTGATGAAATACCTGGCTTCAAGAATCTCGGTGGATCTTGTTATGCGGTTGGTTTGGGGTTTGGTTCTAACCAGCTACTTTAGAATAGATCTGTATCCAAATTCATTACCTTTCTAGGCAATTGAAGTGAAGAACACATATGAAAAAGCCCGTGAAGCCTGCAAGGAACTCCATTCAAAAGCCGATCTCGCGTCAATTCGTTGTGAAAAGGAGAATGGTTTGGTGGCAGGTTGGTTTTGGAGACAAAGTTGAAAAAGATCAAGCACCAATTGTAAAATTTGACTAAACCGTTCAACTTTTAGCTGAAAAATGATGAATACAAAACATTTTGCTAATCCATGGGTTTCAGATATGGCGAAATATCCGCTCGGAAAGAAATGTAATGGCTATGGAATGGAATCTTTTCGTTTTACATCACTTGATGTAAGGATTTTAGCAAGTTCGAGAGCTTTGAGAGCTACTCAGTAACTAAATTCGATTGGAATACCATTGAACACTTTAATTTCAGTTGGAGAGCCAGTTTTTTCAGCTGAATCCGGCAGTGAGTACAATTTAGGGCGCCTGGATCGGTCTGAATAACATGCAGCCGAACTCAAGTGGGACATGGGTGAATGGAATCGAATCGGGCTATAGGTGAAAATAGATTAGAACTTGCCAAAAGATAGAATTTTAATTAAAAACCTTCAGAAAATGGGACTACGGAGAGCCAAATAATGGCCTTGGAGCTCGTCCTGAAACAGTCACTGCTGTGAGTTTTTGCTGTTTTATGGAAACAGTTTACAGTCACTAGGCATGGCTAACGATATTTTGGGGTTGCTCCCGTTCGGACAGGCATATCGGCGCACTGAAATTTGCTAGCAATCTAAAACTTTTTCATCAGAAAGCCAATATTATTAGCTTCATTTTGATACCAAAAATTCGGCAAAATTCTTTAAAATAGTACTTAAAAAATCCGAAAAAATAAAGGCTCTCGGTCTCGTTAAGTATCGATAACCTTTTAGAGTACTTTTTTGAAGATTTTTGTTGAATTTCTGGTATCAAAATGAAGCTGATAATCTAGGCTTTCTGATAAAAAAGTTTCAGATTGCTAGCAACTTTCAATGCGTTAATGTGACTGGGTAAACTTGAACCCTCGTTAAACCTCGTTAACAAGTCTAACAGTCACCATTTTACATTTCCAGATGCACATCAAAGCTACATATCGACGATACGGATCACTGGGTTTTTGGAATGATATGTATGCTGAAGATAGGATGTGTGGAGCGATTTGTGAAGTGATTGTGGTTAGTTTTTGTCCGATTTAAGAAACTGCTTCCAAGATCTTTTAAAGCAAGTTTTGAAATAAAAACTAGAGTTAAAACTTTGGAATTGCTTTGTACTAGGCTATGTAAATGTTTTATTTCAAAAACAGTTCCACAAATTTTCAGAAAACAAGCGGCAGCAGCTGTCCAGGATACAAGCCATACCCACAATCGGAAGTGGTGGTGATTTATTGAAAGAACATCTTCTTTAAATATTGTTAAATTGTTTATTTGTTTATTAAATTAAATATAAAATGTTAAATTGATTTGTTAATTAATTCTTTGATCACAAACGATTTGAAAAAAACATATTAAACTCAAAAGTTTTCAAAAAGGATTACTCAAATTCCCTTTTTAAGAATCGACTTTTGAGGTGTTTTTCCGGGAGTTGGAGGTGGAATCATTGAAATCGTCGTTTGCGGACCGCTTTTCTTTGATTTATACGGCAAATTGAAATAAGTGACAACAAAGCTAAAAATTGGGTATAAGTTTTCCAAACAATTCAATTCGTAAGATCTTCTTAGAGAACTAATTAATTAATTCGTAAACTTTACCCCATCAATAAATGCAGTAGAACAGGAATGCACTCAAGAAGAATGAAAAACGTGAATCCCGTCGCGAGTCTACGGAGAACTCGATTGGCGAGCACGACGAAACCAAGATGGAAAACGGTGATCAAATGGGTGATGATTAGCTGAAATTGGAATTTGATTTGGAAGAGTTTTGAAATAGAGATAGAATTTCCATTTTGACAAACAAACCATAATCGAAAGCCGACCCTCCGCTCGTTTCTTTGCTTCCGAGGATTTTCTCTGAAGATTGCTCATCGCTTTACCTATTCAAAAACCAACCAGCATTCGAACTTTCACCAATGTGATTACATCAAAAAATAATGTCACACCAAAAACTCCATACATAACTGTTTGAAAATAGGTGACAATCCAAATGGTCCAATAGTCTTTTGCAAACATTATCAGATCCACGAATTCGAGTGGGGAAAAAAAATATCCCGTGTAGCTTAGTGATTCATATGTATAGATGTATGCTAAATTTTTATTTGAAAGCTTATTTTATTGAGAAAAAACCACTTCCAACAAAAGAAAGATGAATTCCGACGGGAATCACCCAGAGAATAAAGGCATGAGGAAAAGAGATCAGTTCCATTATGTGATAGAATCGACCACGGAAGAAAACGGCAAACAATCTGAATTACCTCTGAATAATCTGAAATGAATTATTTATTCTATCAAAAGACGCATCCAAGGCTTGATCGAAAGATCCTCAAGGGAGTCCTCTAATATCGCGTCTTTTATTAGAGGTTACCCTTAAATTCTATTTTTTTTGCTGTAACTACCGTCATTCTTGACTTGTTTCTTTTGTTCTTTCTATTTTTTATTTAATTTTACCTATTTTTACTTCTTGTAACTTTTGCTTTTTAGTTTTTTTATTTCCAATTGATGAATTAAATCTAGTAATTTTTTAAATTTAGGTGACGTCAATGAGTGAACGCCAAAGCAATTGGAGCAAACGGAAGCGGAGGTGCTACGACGCGTTCTGGAGATTGTTCTGAAGATGATTCTGAAGATGGTTTTGTAGATGGTTCTGAAGATGGTTCTGAAGATGGTTCTGAAGATGGTTCTGGAGATGGTTCTGAAGATGTTCTGAAGATGATTCGATTCACTGCTTTACTAAAATTCAAACAAGGACGTCAAATGTCACACAGGAAAGAATTGATCAATCATGAGCGAAATTGTTGGAATGTCGATTTGGGTGAGGATGTTAACAACTGGGATTACCACTCAGACGACGAAAACTCTGACATCTCGGATTCATCTTGAAGTTCTCCATTAGATTCTATTGATTTGGATCTAGAAAGTGAATGCATGGAGATGACGTCGACAAGGAAAATTAGGATGAAAGCATTTTAGACTTTAATTGAACAATGTTATTTTTTTCTTCTTTTTGTTGTTGCACATTTACTGTTGCTTTTTACGTTGTTTTGTTGTTAACTGAATGAAGTTGTTACTTACATATTTTTCTTGAAATATTGGTTTCAAAACCTTACCACTTTACTACCTTACTACTTTCAAAATCTTACTACCTTAGTTACTACTTTGGTACCTAAGCACAAATTAATGAACTAATAAAAGACGACCTCTGATAAAGGGATGCATCTAGAACTCGATCGAAAAATAAAAGACGCGTCTTTTATTAGTATAATTACGGTAAATATTTTGAAGATTAAATCGCCTGTCCAAGACTTCAAAATTTTTCGAAAACCATTTACCTATTCATCGTCAGACCATGCCCAATCAGTTGCATCGAGAAAATCATCCCGAGATTTGTTGCAATGAGAATTTGATTGACAAAGAGCCCGCACCAAGGCCATCCATCAACAGCAACACAGTCCCATCTAATCTTTTCAATGAGTATGAGTTGAAAGGATTACTCACGTGAGAACACATTGTGCTTTGAAAAGAAAAACGATTCCCTCATAAAAGCGACAAAATGTATCCAAAAGGAGATAGAATTTGACAGCCCATCCACAAGCTCGATTTGTGAAGACCACTTTGAAGCAATAGCCTTGTCCAAGAAGGGCTATGATGCCCAACTAGAATGGTAAATAGAATGATATGGTTTTTTCTGATATGTTACCGTAATCAAAAGTGTCACTACATAGGGAATATAGTCATCATTAACATTCGAGTATTCCGGCATACCATTCATCAAGTAATTGACCCCATCTCGAATTGTGAGACTATATTTTGTCTGACTTTCATCAGAAGTCTCATTTTGACTTGATTGAGTCACATTATGGAATTGAGTTGTTGAAGAGAATGGATCTTCAGTGACCGTTTCGTTCATTGAAGATTATAAAATATTGAAACCAACTTTTATAGTTCAATGCACTCAAAAGCATTGTTCACTCTCAATTTTAAAATCAGATTAACGGCTTTTCAAAATTTAATAATGGTTTTGCTATTGAAAGAAACGATTCAATTTGCGGGTGATGACAAAAAAAAACAAAAAAAACTGTAGGCATTTCGTTTCATTTTTCCTTTCAGGGAAGTGGGTTAAATTTCAAAATCAAAAAAGTCATTGTCAAAGATCAGAGAAATCAATCTTTTAGTATCGAATTCAAACTCGATTTTTTAGTGAGCGATTAAGCTACAAAATACTGATGAAACCCAGCATATTTATCTAAAAATTTCAATCACATTTGAAACTGCACTGCAATGAAAGTTAAAGTCAACGATTCAAATCCTTATCCAGTGTTCAGTGAATTTGCAAAAGCGTTCATCGAACTCTACTTGTTTCTCTAAACACGAAGAAGCCTCTTCTCGAACGAGAAGATATCCAGAAGTTGACTAGATCTTTTTTAACGACATTTCGACAACTTCACTTTTTCTCATCTCTCCTCTTTTCCATATTAACTTTATCGTGACGTTTCTGACCTCTTCAATGATTAATCTTTTTCAATAATTTATCGGGTATTAAAAGAGAAAATCAACTTTGCAGGTCATCGAGTATTTCAGCTGGTTTCGGTTTAGAAGAGAGTCGAACTTCTAACAAAAGTACAGCCAAATTTAAGGCCAAAATTCTTCCGAGAAATTTGGGCATAGTGATTTAAACTGCTATTGTTTCAATATGATCTATACTAATTGCTACAGTGCCCCTAGTCTTGGAGTTTGTACTTCCTGTCTTGTCCAGCTCTTGGCCATCCCCGGTTTCCCAGGGATGTTCAATGCTCACCGCGTGGAGGTGGCTGGACGTCGAGCAGCGCCCTCCCTCTAGCCCTAATGGTCGGCATAACGGGAGCGGGGCCTATGGGGGACCTAACCTCGTGGGGGAATCCTTCCCCGGGGACTAAGGGCCAGGGGGAGGGAGTTCGGGGATGCCAAAGACCTCCCCGCACGACCAGTTGGTCATTTCACGGGTCCTGTTCCGTGTGGTTTTGCGTTAAAAGAGTGTCGACACCGTGAGGACAAAGCGACCAGCACCACTACACGTACCGGACTTTCGCGCAATGAAATGCCCCTGGTACGGCCGAGGACCAGCACCACCACACGTACCGGACTTTCGCGAAATGAAATGCCCCCTTCGGATACGGCCAGTGTTACCCGGACCAGAACAGTTTGCCGATGAGGAAGGGAAATGGCCCCGCTTACGGAAAGCCGTGCGCCAGAAGACGAGCGATTGTGCGGGCACCTCAAAGAACATCTCGCCAATCATTTACAAAAAATAATTCAGCAAAATAGTTCGAGTAGGAAAGAAAGAAAAACTGGAAACGTGAATTGTAAAATTTGTCGTTTTCCTTTAAAAAAAGAAGTGGGTTTAATTTCCAAGTCAACAACAGTCATTATAGTGGTGAATCGCTTGGTGAAGAGAGAAATCTTGCAAAAGCAAAAGCAGGCCCTTCCGAATTTCTAAATTTGGACACATTTGCTTGGAAAATCACTCGATCACTAATGCACTCAATAAAAGCTTACTGAGCTTTACTGATTGGTACTCAACAATGAAATTTTGTTCATTTTAGTCAATAACTTGCAAAAACGTTCATCGAACTTTACTCGTTTCTCCAAGAGGCCTTTTTTCAAGAAAAAAATATCCGGAAATTGGACAAGGATCTTTTTCAACAACCTTCCCATCTTCACTTTTTCTCATCTCTTCTCTTCTCCATTTCTTTATCTTGTGAAATTTTTGACCTCTTGAAGACGAATCTTTTAAATCCTAGTGACGAAGTAAGAGTTCATTCAGATTTTTGGGCTTTTGAATGAAATCTTATCAAGAAAAATATTATTCTGTTTTTTTAACGATTCCTGAAATATTCAGAATCATATGCCATTCTTTCTGGTAACCTTAAACCTTAAAACCTTAAAACTTTGGGAAAGAAAGGAGAAGCGAATGCTTTATTCATTCGACACAATTAGCATCAGATGTCCGTTGGGTTTCTTCTCTTTTCTTTTCTTCCTTTCCCTTTTCTTTTTCGTTCTTTAGCCTCAATTGGGGGAAATTGAGCGGATTCTACAACAAAGAATCGACTTACTTTGTTGGTTTCTTTTTTCTTTTCAATTTGGTTTCCGGTTTTGAGTTTGTGTAGATAGTAAAATCATTACTTTACTCAAGAAATGAAAAGCCTATCACTTAAAGCAAAACAAACCGAATTTCTTTCAGTGCCACTGATTTTTTTCTGAGCTGTAAAGTGTAAAAAAACTATTGCCTCTATGCATATTTTTCATTTCATTGCATTTTTCACTGCAATTTCATAAATGTGTCTCTCAATAATCTCAAAGAACAAGCCTGGCATGCTACAGAGTGGCGCACAATTATGGAAACTCGGTTTTTCGACTGTAACTCAACACCCAATTATTCAATTCCCTTAATTTCATATTTATATGAAATTTCAATTTAATTTCTGCAGTCAATTTCAATTTTTAGTTCAGAAATACAGTGTTACGCTTTTTATAGTACTTCGAAGTTCAGAGGTGCTAATCTCTCGGCAGAATCGTTGTTTGACGAGATTTACACGAATTTAGAAGAAATTCCCGCTTCCTATTTACTCATTTTTGCTTTTTATTAAGAAATAGAATGATCTGGTGTATTTCTAATCAGAAGATTTTCAATAATTTCAGAATCTTGAGAGCTAATAGTTAAATTCTCTGAAAGCTGAGCGTGCGTTGCCTGGTGAATCCCCAAATCATTCCTGATTTGCTGTCTTGCAAAGTTAATGCATTTATTTTGTGATATTTGTTTAAATTCAGGAGTGAAACTAAAAGAATTGGTTGATTTCTAGGCAATTCTGGTAGTTGAGAGTTGAAAACTATTGAAAACGATGATTCTGCTGAGAGGTTGGCACCTCTGAACTTCGAAGAACTATAAAAAACGTAACACTGTGTTTCTGAACTAAAAATTGAAATTGACCGCAGAAATTAACTTGAAATTTCATATAGATATGAAATTAGGGGAACTGAATAATTGGGCGTTGAGTTACAGTCGAGAAACCGAGTTTCCATAATTGTGCGCCACTCTGTAGATTCACAAGTCTTCAATGCTTTAACTTGTAGCTTATGGTGATCGAATGCATTACCTGTTGAGTTGAGTTGCAGGTTCCAGTCGCGTTGAGTTACAGACGAAAAACAAGAGGTTCCACAATTGTGCGCCAATCTGTGGTATGCTCAAAAAGCTCTATCTCAAAACAAAAATGGTTTATGCAAATTTAAGAGATTATTGACCTAACAGTCTACAACACTGGATTGCTTTTTTCCTTTTCTAGAAATAACGAATTTTGACTTTCTTTGTTACCTATTTCAAAGCTGATGTACAAAGCTGATTCTAAAGCTGATGTAATAGGTTGATGCATAAGTCTTTTCGTTTTTTTCGTACTTCTGTTAAAAAGCAACAAATTCACCAATTAATCTATAGTTTGCTCTATAAAAAAAGTGTTTTTTTGTTCAATTTGCATCTTTTTAAATGAATTTCGGTTCACTTTCAAGCAAATTCGAGAGTGAAAAACGCCTTTTTCGTAAAAATCTATAAAAAACTCTACGGAAAAATTGGCTGAATGAATTTCTCTGAAATTTTGGCGAAATATCAAACTTTTTTTCTCTATCTTTTATCTATTGACACGAAGATAGGTTTTCTTTAGCTAAGGTGTCTAAACCGCATCATCGAGTTAGCCCTTTTTGACTACCCGACTTCATACTCTCAAGAAAATCCAGGCATAAAATATTTTTAAACCCGTTTTAATGTTATTTTGCAGAAAAATAATTGGTTTTTCTAATGAAATCAACCGTAGTTTAATTGGTGCAGTTGTTGGCTTGAAACGGCAGACGTAAAGGAACAAAAAGACTTATGCATCAACCTAATACAAAAGCCTGCTTTACATCTAAACCAAATTTTGCATTTCCTCCGTTCCTTGAAGAAGAGATCAAAAGAAAAACTAAAGAGTTTTTCGAAAATGAGCAGGCAATTTAGTTTTTGCAAATGAAATCTTCAAAGATCCAATTAAAATCCACAGAGATATTTTCTCTTTTTGTTCTTTTTCCCTTTTTATCTTTTCATTTTCCTTGTTTTACGCCTCTAATGATATCTTGAATCAATGAAAAGAGATTTCTCTCTCATAGTCAGAGAACTTTCACATGTATAAACAATTTTTGGCTGTAATTATTGACCTTTATGGAATCTACAATGGATAATCAATTGCGGTAACAAGGAACAGCAATGGTTCAATTGAATGTGGTAAGTAGACAAGATAATTCTGATCATTCTGTTAATTCTGATCAAAATGTGTTCCCTATTCTCTAAAAAGCATCTTCATTAGAAACTCTACAGGTCTACAACTACTTTAGAAATCCTACAAGCCATCAGTTCTATTTAATTTGCCCAAATTTGGTGTTGTTTGATGAGGAAAGAGGCAAAGATGCTTAAATTCAATTGATCGAATGTAAAATAACAGATTGATTGCTGGTGTTCTAAGACTGGCGTCTTTTAGAAAATACAATAGCTGAGAGAAACACACCTTAATCTAGGTCGCGACGGCTCACTCCGGTACAGCGGATAAACCCCTTCATCGACCGAAACTCGGGGTATTCGTGTATCTGCTCTCATTCACTGCTGTGATTGGTGAATGCTTTCTTTCCAATTTTTCAAATATCTGATTCCAGGCGGTTTTCTGTTTGGCTATGACACGGGTATCGTCTCATCGGCGATGTTGTACGTGCCATCCAATACTGGAATGAAACCATTGTCCTATGTTTGGCAAGAAATCATTGTCTCTGTTACGCCAGGTGAGTGAAGATCAGAAAGTTAACAAGTGAAAGCCACGGTAAGTGAAAGATCAAATGAAGTCGATGTACTTGTTATTATACTCAATTCTAAATTTTCCTAAAATGCAATGTAATGTAGTAATGTAATGTATAATGTAAAGTAACTCATTTTGTTTACAGGCTTTGCAGCAGTGGGTTCTCTCCTTTCTGGAGCCGGTTCAGATCGTTATGGAAGAAAGAAAGTGATCATCGGCTCGTCTCTCGTTTTCACAATTGGTGCGCTGATTTGTGCGATTGCAGTGGAGAAGATAATGCTGACTGGTGGAAGAGTTTTACTTGGAATGGCTATTGGTTGGTTCTCAATCAATCGCTAAAGTCTTTAGGCTCTAGGCTTTGCCTCAATGGTTGTCCCAGTCTACGTGGGTGAAGCATCACCAGCCTACATCCGTGGAACTCTCATCACCGGTTTCCAATTGATGGTCACTTTTGGTCTCTTTGCAGCCAATGTCTTCGCTGGTGCCTTCTCCTATATTGATCCGACGAATATTGGATGGAGGTAGAGTTAGGCAATTGGACTGAATTACATGAGTAGTGTACCAGGCAATGTGTGCTTATTTTTTGAACACAAAGTACAGGGTGACTAATAAGTATCCGGAAAAAGTATTTAGAAACAAGTACAACAACGTTTTACATCGATCGAATAGTGCGTTTCCTATTTGTTTTGATCCGTCAAAAATTGTCCTTTCAGCAAACGATAGCTTTTTAGTCCTAGCTCATGTTTGACAATCATTTGGAGGCGTTTACGAGAGATTTTAAGGCTTTTGGTCCTCCTATTCAGGCTCAATCCATCATTGCGGCCAATTCGCTTTTTGATGATGCCCCGGTTTTGTCGTGTGTTCACAGTACGTCCGGATTTTGGCTTTTCCTTGATACTTGCAGTTCTTTTCCATTGATTAATCACTTCGTAAACCGTTGACTTGGGTATTTGAAGTCGTTTTGCGATCACCATTGGCTTCATTCCTGACTGTCGCCGACGCACAATGGCTTCACGGTGGAGCGAGGTCTTTATAGCACCTAAATATCAATATTATTATTACTGAAACGCAAAAACATTATAATCAAGAATACGTATCAACGAAAAAATGAACAATAACTGAATTAATAAAGCGAGTGCGCATAAACAAAATTGTTCCGGATACTTTTCAGCCACCCTGTGCATAGTCTAGCAACGCTATCAAAGTTATCCAACTCAGATTGATGTTCGGTTTTGCGGCAATCCCAGCTGGAATCCAATTCGTTGCTTTCTTCTGTCTTCCCGAGAGTCCTCGATGGCTTTATGAGCACAATATGATTGATGATGCAAGACTTGTTAGTTTATAAAGATCTAAAGCACGACTCTTACGCAGGTATTGGATAAAATCTACAATGGAGACAAGAGTTGGATCGAATACGAGCTCTCTGAACTGGCTGTAGCTACAGAGCTGGCTAAAGTTCAGAAATCGGAGGATGATGGTTGGTTTAAGTCAAAATTTATCGAAAATCAATTTCTCAGAGTCGATTCTCATTCGCGTTTTCTCCACTCCACATGTTAGAAAAGCTCTTCTGATCGGCTGTGTTTTACAAGGATTTCAACAACTTTCTGGCATTAATACGATCATGTAAGCGCTTAAAATCTTGCTGTTGTCAAAGAAATTTAGGTACTACACAGGAAAAATCATCCAAGCAGCCGGTGTCGGTGATAAACATGCGACAATTTGGATCTCAGCAGCTATATCAGGTAAATTTACGGTTATTCGTGTAAAACTCAATTGAAGCGGTGAATTTCGTCTGCACTTTCCTACCCCTTTACACGATTGACAAATTCGGGAGAAGAGCCTTGTTAATTTGTTCAGTTATTGGAGTGGTTTGTACTTGGAATAGATTTTGTGATTATAACTGATCAGGGAATCACTCTCTTTGCAATGGGTGGCGCATTCTATGCGATCAATCGAGACTCTGACCCAGTCATCAACAATTACACAACTCGATCAGTCAACCATATTGAAGTGTGCAAAGCTTATAGGTAATAGCTTTATAAATGCCAAATCAAAATGAAATTCAGAAATTGTGACTACTGTGTGACTGACGAGCAATGTGGCTTCTGCAAAGGAAAAGCACATGATTCAGGTTAGACAAAGTGAATTGATAGACAAAGATCTATCTATCTGAAGTTGCATTTTAGCCTTGCTAACACTTATTAACCCTAGCAACACTATTTTAGGCTACTGTGTCCCCTATTCCATGGACACCGAAGATCGAGCTCTTGTCGGATTCTGTATGAATGGAACAGAACAGGGTGAAGGAGCTCAATATGAGTGGAGTGCCTCGTTCTGTCACTCTCGGTTCACCTACATTCCAATCATTCTCATGGTCATCTATTTATCATTTTTCTCGATAGGTTTGAGGCAGTTCGAGAGAATTCACTTCCATATTCTTCAGGCTATGCTCCTCTTCCATGGGTCTTGAATGCTGAGTTCTACCCGTTGTGGGCGAGATCGACTTGTGTGTCGATTGCCACCGCCTCGAATTGGGCCTTCAATCTCCTCATTTCCCTTACTTTTCTATCGCTTTCTGAAGCACTTACGAAATATGGTGAGTCAGATTTCCAAATTTGAAGGCGATTACAAAAATTGTAGCATTTTTCAAAAAATCTCCAATCATTCATTGGACATTTTATGTAGGACATTGGACAAACTTTTTGTAGCCTAAACTGTTGGGAATTAAAACTGCCGCAAGCGGGGTCGAACCCGCCACTGAGAGACAGACAGTAATCCACTATGGGGGCACATTGAACCCGCTGCTTTTCCGCGCCCTTTCCTCTCAAAGGGCTTTCTGTGCTACCTTTTATTGAGGATCCTAGGACTGTTGGGAACTAGTTGGGAACTAATTAACCAGTTGATTAACCTACATCTAATAGAGTTGAAACTAATCAACTTTGAAATCAAGTTATGTTCAGGAACATTCTGGCTTTACGGTGGGATCACTATTGTCGCTCTCGTCTTTGTCTGGTGGGCAATCCCAGAAACAAAAGACTGTTCGATTGATGAAGTTGAATGGTTATTCATGTCAGAAGAAGAGAAAATGAGAAGATTGAAAGGAAAACAAGAAGATCTGTCACCGCCTGGTGTTGTTGGGTACCACACAAAGGATCACACTATTGATATTTCATTCTAGATTTTTGGTAGCAATAAAGATGAAGAAAAGCTGGGCTCAAAGTACAGTAGCGGACTTAAGACACATTTATTCAAAAACCCAACGACATTAACTTAGCAACACAAAGAGAATCATTGCTTTTCTTTGTTCTTAATCTGTTGTTTTTAATTTTTTATTTTTATTCTACTGTTATTTCTACTGTTATTACTGTTATCTAAAGTCTTTACTAAAGAAATAAGTTTTGTTTTTAGTTATGGGAAAGAAGAAACAAATCATTCCTGCAATTCATGACACAATCGTTGCGATGCAGGAGACACCCAAAGTCGGATTTTGATAATTTTAAGGGTGCACAAATCAACCATTTCTCGAATTTTAAAGCTTCATGCTACGAAAGGCTCTACTATTGCCACGAATTACTATTACTAACCCAGTAAAACCACTCTTCAAAACGATAATGACTCTTCTTTCAAAGCAGGATCCATCTTTTTCATTTCTTATCTCCTATTCATCATCTACAAGTCATTAATCACAATTTTGTATCCATTTGAAAAAGATAAATCTATAAAAGAACCTTTTTACACAACTAATTGAGTAACTCCAATCGCTGTTGACATTCATCAAGAATTACCGTTCATCAAGATTTAACGCTTTCCATTCAAATCATCATTCATCAAGAATTACTGTTTGCTATGAGAATTATCTTATGAGCAAATAGATTTCGAAACTAGTTTCTAGTTTAACTGATTTAAAAACAAACGGTTTCTTGTTCAAAAACGAAAAGTTGCTAAGTGAATGTCCGCTGCTGTACACAGAATAAAAACAGTTCAAAGTTTGAAACTTAAATGAAATGATAAATTTGCTTACCTTGTACCGTACAACTCAGAGATCACAACACAGATTCCTTCAATTTTTGTCTCAAGCAAAACTTCTCCCACCTCAAATCTTTGTGTTTTGCTCGAGTCTCAAGTTTTTATTTCTTATCTCCTGTTCTTCATCTACAAGCTATTAATCTTAATTTTGTATCTATTTCAAAAAGGATAAATCTATAAAGGAACCATTTTGCACAACTAATTGAGTTACTCTGACTTTGGAAACTTGAAATTTTATTGTGAAACCAGACTTTGAAAGTTCCATAAAGAATTTCGGCTCAATTCTTGCTCAATTCTCGCTCAATTCTTGCTTCAAAAATGACACAAGAGAAGAAGAAGCCAAAATTGGAGACAATTCAGGTAAATCTTTGATTTAAACAAAATTTCTATATTTAACCGTTGAAATCTAAAATTTGCAGACCCTCCGAGCTCTCTCGATCATTTCTGTTCTCGTCTATCACACGAGCTATTGGGCATCAAAGGGAGATCTTGGAGTACATATGTAAAAATTCTTATCTATTCTTTTGAAATCAAAATCATTTTCAGCTTCTTTGTGATTTCTGGATATTTAATGGCAATGATTCTTTCGAAAACCGGTGTCACATTGGAGTCCACAAAAGATTTTTATCTTCGACGAGTCAAAAGGATTGTCCCATTGTACTTGTGCGTTTTTCTACTGAAATTTTTCAAAGTTTAGCCATTTTTCTCTAGTTTTTCTCTTAAAATTTTGAAATTCTCTGTTATTTTGTAAGTTTAACTTTAGAATTACCTTGCTGGGAATTCAAATCGGAAGCAGCTTACTGCTGACAAAAGACAAACATCGAAGAACCACTCAAGACACGATTTTGGCTCTGATTTTTGCGAGGAATATGCATTTTGAGGTAAACTTGAAGGCTTTATACAATTTTATGAAGTTTAGTGGGATAATATTTCTCCTAGTATTCATTTATGGACAGTGAGCACGGAAATGCAGGTGAATTATCAGGATTGGCGATTCAATGACAAACTTTAGTATTACTTGATTGTACCAATCATTTTCTACTTCTTGTTGCCGATGAGCTATTGGAAAAAACTGGTGATGATGGGGATGATTGGAGCTGGATCTTGTCTTCTTTATATGGTAGATATCTCTTTTTTATATATTTCCTCTTCTTTCTGTCTTCTTCTTTATACTGTAGATAAAGTTGAACAAAATGAGATTTGGCTGGGTTTGGCTCAATTCAAAACTTCAGACTCTCCCATTGGTGACTGGAATCTATTTCATGCCAAGTCGCCTCTTCGAATTCCTTCTCGGATCACTCACCTTCTTCACGGAAATCGAGATTCGAAAGGTATTTCTTAATCCCAACTAACAATTAACAAATGCTCCTTCTCAGTTCTTCGATAAACGGTCTGCCAATTCAATCCCGGAAAAGAGTATCCCTGACATTGTGCTCAATTCAGCAAAACGAGAATCATTTCTTGGTGCTTCTAACAGCCTAAAGATCGTTTCTAACAGCTTTTCAGGTGCGATCAAAAGTCAATTCTCAAAAGAAAACCTTTGTTCATCGATTTCTCTTCTTTTCTTCTTGATTTCATGTGTATTCTGCTTTCTATTGACTGGAACGAGTGAAAAGGTACAACTTTAGCAAAACTTTCAAAAAGATTCTTCAGAACGATGTCTTTATTGTGTTATTATGTGCAGCTGGTACAATATTTTTTGCCAATATTGGTGGGTTTTGTTATTTTATGGCTTTAATCGAACAAAGCTTAAGGAAAGTACTCAAGGAAAGCACTTCCTCTCAATTTTAACTCCATTTTACTTCAATTTTAAATTTAGCACATAGCTAAGATTCTCGCCAATCATATTAACTTTATACGTGATTTGTAGGCAACGAGCTACTCATCAATCATCAAGTTCTTTCCTATATTGGAGATATCTCTTATGTTCTTTATTTGGTACATTTCCCAATCTATGTCTTTCTTTCTGAAGGTCAACTACACTTACATTTTCCAGAAGTGAAAGGTGAGACTTGTGCTTTTCTTGGTTAAGATAAGCTGACAGGAAATGATCAAGGGGATCCTTACGGTTAACGGCGGAGAGTAGCGATTATCAGCGGGGGCCAATTTTTTGGCCAACTTGTAACTCATTTTTAAGCACCTTAAACTTTTCAGATCAGGAAATTTTAATAAGATTTAGATAGCTTAGAACGTCAACTTTGAGGAACTATTTGTTTGATCAAAAGTTATTAACAAAAACTTATCTAAAACCGGGCTGCAAGTTGGTCAAAAACATGGCCCCCGCCGATAATCGCTAGCCCGTAAAGATCCGTAAAGATCCGATCAAGGAATGACAAACAGACACAAACTTGTTACAGACACAAGAATGAAAAGTTTAAACAGAGTGACAAGTTGTGAGTTAAAAGCTTGATAGCAAGTACGCTTCAATTAAAAGAGAATTCAAGTAGTCCTTTTTAGTCAATTGTCAGTCGATCTGCCATAGAAATCTGCTCTTTCAGACTTCTTCTACGCCATCACACTCACCATTCTCATCTCTGCACTTCTGCATCACACATTAGAGGAATTTTTCATCAAAACGAGCACCAAGATAGCGTTTTGTTATATTGGTAAGTGAAAGTTAAAAATATCTAACCGTTTTTTGTTGATGTAACCGATCCATGCAAGTTCATTTGATTGTCTAACAAAAGACTTCAGGAGCTCTCTACTTTCTCATCTCAATAATCATCCTGTGTGAGCAAATTTTTGACCCAAATGCTTTAACGATCGATTTCAAATACGGGCATTTCATTTTCGATGAATAAAATATATGATCTCTTTTTGGAAAACACAAAAAGCGAACTAACAGCAAAGATCTTGTAATTTTTTTCTCTTTTCTCTCACTAGTTGCTGTTTGAAATTGATCTGTTTTCAAACAGATGATCCCTCCCCCAAAAAGGGATATTTTATTGATGCACATGGGTTTCAAAAGAACTGAAAACGGGTTCCTTGTTTGGTTTTAACTAAAAGTCCAATCACAAATTAATCTGTTTTCATTACCATTCGGCTCTTCATTTTAAAATCAACTTTGGTATTTGAAAATGGTGGCCGAGAAGAAGAAATCGAAGTTGGAAACGATTCAGGTGGGATAAATAAAGGAGAATACATTTGTTGAGAACTTTTACGTCAGATTAGCTACAGTACGGTACAATACTTGTCTACAGTACTGTCAGTACTTGTCTACAATAATCGTCTACCACTACAATAGCCTTTCTAGACCCTTCGCGCCTTATCAATCCTTGCCGTCCTTGCTTTCCATTCGGGATTTTGGGGATCAAAGGGAAATCTTGGAGTTAGAATGTAGGTTTTCAAGTAAACTCGATAGAGCTAAATCTACCGCACTCAAAATTTTAGCTTCTTCGTGATCTCTGGCTACTTGATGGCTCTAATCTTGTTGAAAACAGGTATCACAAAAGAGTCAGTGAAAGAATTTTACATCAGGCGAATCAAGAGGATTGTTCCTATGTATTTGTGAGTTGACAATATTTATATATGATTTAAACATCAAATTCTCAGACTCATTTTGCTGGTGAATCAAGTTGCGAGCCTTTTCTTTCTATCAAAAGAGCAATATCGACGTACAACTCAAGACACGATTTATGGGATATTGTTAGTCAAGAATATTCACTATGATGTAAGTTGTAAAATAGGCAATTGGGTATAAGAATTCTTTGATTTAACATTTGATTTAAGCTTTAAGGACACAGTTTTTATAACAATTCATTGTTTTTCAGCCAGAAATGCTTCTCCCGATCAATCATTTGTGGACGGTGGCGGTTGAAATGCAGGTTAAAGGAACTTTCAGCTTCAATAAGATTTCAGCTACGGTAAACTGAGTCTGAGCTTTAAAGCCAACTTATTGTTAAGTTCATTTAATCAAAAACTGGTCGTTTAGTATTACTTGATTGTCCCCGGCCTCTTCTATTTTCTGTTTCCGATGAAATTCTGGCAGAAAGCCATAAGCATGGTGCTGATGGGAGTGGCTTCTTTTGTACTGTGTCAGGTGAAGGTTTTACGATTATTAAGACTTATTTGACTTCATAGCAGCTTTAAGTCTTGCAATAAGTTGAATCAATGAGGAAAGTAGTGTAGCAGTGCCCAAACAACTAAAAGATTGCATCACTTTCCAGTATCTCCCAAACATGGCTCAAACCGATTTCACCCCAGCTCGCCTCTTCGAATTTCTCCTCGGCTCTCTCACGTTTTTCGTCGAAAAACAGTGCAGAGAAACATTTGTGAGTTAAAAACTAAAACCATCATCTAAAACCTAAACAAAAATGTATTCCAACTCCAACTCAAAGAACTTTTGATCTGCTGAAGTGACAAAAATCAGTGCAGTCAGCCTGAAAATCAGCTAACGGCTGTTAATTTGTACCAAAAATCCGGCTGAAAGTTTACAACTTGAACTATTATTCTGTTTACTGTTGCTTGTTTACAAAATCAACAAGTTTAGTTTACCAACAAAATCCCCAAGTCTGTAACGATCAAAAACAATAAAGTCTCGGAAGAAAATAAAGACGGGAAGATAGTTGCAC